CTGTTTCCAAGGTGTCTATCAGTTCATTGTCTGAGCATTGTTTAAGGAGGCGATCAATGTCAGTAAAGTTGTAGTTAGGGGTGTATATAAGGGGGGATTGAAGGGTAAGTTTGGCAAATGAGTCAGCAGTTTCGTTACCTTTTATTCCTATGTGGCTAGGAATCCAAATAAGGCTTATTTTTGGGAAGTTTTTGGTTAGGATGTTTCTTATTGACGTTATATAGTAGGAGTGTTTATTGTGGTTTTTAATCGAGTTAAGGGAGGAGAGGGAGTCAGTGCAGATTGCGTGTTTTCCAGACTTTCTTTGACAAAGTTTTGTGGCTTCTAGGATGGCAATGATCTCGCTCGTGTAGGAGGAAGAGTACATTGGAAGTAGACCGGATTTTAAAAGGTTATTTTCATCGGTAATACTGAATCCAGATATACCATCAGCCTTAGAACCGTCAGTATATACAAAATTGTGTTGTGGGTATGAGGATTGTAAGGACCTGAAAAGTTGTTGGTAGGTTGTTGCAGGGGTATTTTGTTTATTATGAGATGACAGAATAGTATCTATAGCTTTATGTATGGTTGGCATATTAAATTTATTACATTTACTGGTTCGGATAGGAGAAACGGGAAGAGATAGATGGTTGCATGTTTTGATTATTCTGTCTATGGTACTAGGGTATTTGTATATTCTTTTGTGTGGCTTTATTAGTTTAGTTATATGGGTGTCGTGGGCGAAAAGGATATTTTTACTTAATTTGGCTGTAAGGAAGTTTCGTTTTTGTTCTATTGTGTTTGTTTTAGATTCTAGTAGTAAGTTGTTTACTGGAGTGGTTCGATAGGCTCCCATGGCTGATCTTAGAGCTGCATTTATTATTGTTTTTAAGCAGTTTAATTTAGATTTGGGAGAATACCCGTAAATAGGCAGGCAAAAATCGATTTTTGAAATAAGGATAGATTTAATAGTATTGATAAGAGTGGATGTGTTACAGTTATATTTAAGGGAAGAGAGATGTTTGATGATATTTAAAGGTTTTAATAGTTCTGTTTTTAGTTTTGAAATATGGTTGGACCAGGTGTATTTGTTGTTAATAGTAAGACCTAGTATTCTGAGGGAGTTGGTATTGGGAAATTTTGTGTCGCCTGTAAGGATATTGGCAGAACAGTTATGTTTTCTGCATATATGAAGAACTTGGCATTTTTCTTTCGATAGGATTGATCCTGAGTAAGTACACCAGTCGTCTATTTGAGAAAACAGGGTTTGAAGGTTGGAAGTGGGGTTTTTTTGTTTATTGTGTTCGATTATAAGATGGAAGTCATCGGCGTAAGCTGTTAGTTTTATTTCTTTGTGTACGGAGATAATATTGGAGAGTGCGTTGTAAGCTATAAGAAAGAGAATTACTGAGATTGGAGACCCCTGGGGGATGCCATTATTGAGTGGGAAAATGTTTGAAAGGTTGTTGCCGGATTTAATAATTATCTTTCTGTTTGTCATAAAGTTAAGGACGTAATTTAATATGCGTTTGCCAATTTTCCATTCCTTCAGCTGGTTAATTACGGAGTGTATGCCAATTTTATCAAATGCCTTGTTGAAATCAAGAGAGATCAATGTGATGTGTTTCTTGAGGGAGAGGGATCTAGTTGCTATGTGGTCTACTAAAAGTAGACTGTCTATGACAGATCTTCCCCTTCTAAATCCAATCTGATGGCTGTTGATTAGATTGTTATTTAAAACAAACCACCACAGTCTCTTGGCGATAATTTTATCAAGTGTTTTGGCGAGGCATGAGTTTAGGGATATAGGACGGTACGATTTTAGGTCTGTTTTAAGTTTTTGGGGTTTTAGAATAGGAAGTACTAGGCTATGTTTGTAGGCTTGGGGGATTGAGGAATCTAGGATTGAGTTAAAGTGGTTAAGGACTCTATGTTTGAATGATATAGGGGAGTTGTTGATCATAATGTAAGAGATGCGATCTAAGCCTGGAGTTTTGCCTTTCAGGGAGTTGAGTGCGCTGCTGAATTCAATGAATGAAATGTCCTTTTCTATTTCGAGTGCAGAATTGGAGGGTTGGTAGTCTATGGTGGGGTTTAAGAGAGATTTGTTAGTGCGAAAAGTTGGAGAAAAGTTACTGTCGTCGCCTTCTTTGGACCAGGCAAGTCCAAAGGAGTTAGCAATTTCGCTTTGGGATGTTCTGGGGGTGGGGAAGGAAGGGTCGTTAATGCAATGTATATGCTTTGAGGGGTAAAAACCGCAAAGCCGCCTGATGTTGGACCATGTTCTAGCTGGAGATGAGAAGGGGCTAATATCAGAAGTGAAATTGAAAGTAGAGATGCGTTTGGCTTCTCTAACTGCTTTTTTTAGTTTCGCGTTGGCTTTTTTGTATTCAATTGTATTATAAGTAGTAATGTTGCGCTTTAATATAGACCACTTAGACGCTTTGGCTTTCTTCAAAATTGATAAGTTTTGATTCCACCAAGGGACTGTTCTAGGAAATTGAAAAGTAGTGTTCTGGGGGATAGATTGGTGCGCGCTTTGGATAATAATTTTTCTTAACATAGCTGCTTCTTTATTGACATTTTCGCTTGGAGGCTTGTCAGTAGAATTGTATCGAAAAGATTTTTTGTATGCTTCCCAGTTTGCTTTTTTTAGGTTAAAGGAGGGTTTGGAGGTGTAGGATGAGGGGGAGGTATTAAGGTTCATTGAGATTAAAATAGGGAGGTGATCACTACCGTAGAGGTCGTCTATTGTTTCCCAGAGAAATTCTGGGGCTATATTGGATGAAGAAAAGGATAAGTCTATATGTGTGAAAGAGTTGTGTGTGGAGAAGTGGGTGGGACTTTTGTCGTTTAATAAGATGTAATCTGAACGGTCTAGGAATTTGGCAATAATATTGCCTCTGGCATTAGGGCTAGGTGAGCCCCAGTAGGGGTGCCAGCTGTTAAAGTCTCCGAGGACTAACGTGGGAGTGTTGTCGAAACAGAGGACGTTTTCTAAGTTATTTCTGTTAAAGGGCTTGGTTGGTGAAATGTAGGCTGATATTATGTTTAGTTTAAGTTTAGTGTCTATTGAGACTCCAGTTGCTTCGAAGTCTTGGGTGATTGAGATTTGTCTTTGAGATATTGAGTTATGTATCAGGAGTGCTGCGCCCCCGTAAGAGTTGGTGCAGCATTGTTGGTAGAGTGTGTAGTTAATGGGAATGGGTAGAGAGTTAAAGTTGGTTATGTGTGTTTCTTGTAGGGCAAGGATTAGGGGGGTTAAAGGTCTTGATCAGGGATTGGAGTTCGATGTAGTTATTTCTATATCCATGGATGTTCCATTGAATAATTTTAAGCATTATAATGTAAGGGGAAGGAGTATTACTTAGTACTAGTTTGAGCGATTAGTTTTTAAAGTTCAATAACAATAATAAACTAAAAAAAGAAAACTATTTAAAGCTCTTCTTCAGAGCTATTGCGATTGGCTAATTTGCTTAATTCGTTTGCTAATTTTGATGTGTTTATGGGCTTAGATTTGTCAGATTTGTCTTTAGCCTTGAGGGAGGGTTTGGAAATTACATTTGATTTATCTTTAGTTTGGCTTCTAAGCTTACGATCGGATTCAAGGGTTGTATTTTTAGAGCGGGTAGCGGTGACTTCTGCGGAGGTTTCAGTATCCATATGTTCGATGCCGGGGTTTGTTGTTTGCTTGATGAGTTTGGACGAAGTGCTGGGTAGTGGATTGATAATGTCGTTGTAGTTCCTTATTTCACGGTTGGTGTTAGTGTTGGTGCCTTCGGTGCTGGCAGTCTTTGGAGCTTGGTTTTCTGTGATTGTAGGTTTTTCGGAGGATGCTATCTTGGAGTACGGGGTAGATTGGTGGGTGTGGCGCGTGTGATAGATTTTTGTGGCGGTTTTGTAGTCGACTTTTTGTAGTGTTTTAATTGTTATTATTTCTTTTTGTTTGATGAAGGCTGGGCATGTTTTATCTAGGGGACTGTGGTTGTATTCGTTGTTAATGTCGTTTTTGCAGTTTATGCAAAACTTGGGTTTGTCGCATTCAGTGTCGTCTGGCGTGTGTACTTCTCCTGAGCAGTTGCTGCAGGCTTTGGTGGGGGTCCTGCAGGCTTTCGTGGGGTGTCCAAACCTGAGGCAGTTGCGGCATTTTAATGGGCGTGGAATATGTGGACGAACTCTTATTCTTTCCCATCCTATCATTATGGTATCCGGGAGAAACGTTGAAGAGAAGGTGACAATTACGAGTCCAGACTCTTGGAGAATGTTGTTCTTTTTGATGAAGATTTTTTCAACATTGTTGACCCTTTGAAGCTTAAGCTCGTTTAATATATCAGCTTCGTCTACATGCCGTAGTTCATTTGAGTATATTACTCCTTTCGAGGAGTTTAAAATTTCATGTATAGTGACTTTTACAGTGAAGTTGTGGAAATTGGAGAGTTTTAGCAGTTTTACTGCCTGTGCTGAACTTTTGGTTTTAACTAATAGGGTTCCGTTTCTGGTTTTAGTGCATGTTTCAATTTCTCCGCCGCAGGTGAATTCAATAACTCTTTTTATTATGAATATCGAAACTTTTTCAAAAGTCTCGTTATCTGTTCTGGAGATTATGAGGAACTTCGGGTCAAGAGTTGTTGTTTTATTACCCAGTGCAGGGTAATCTAGATCAGGTGGTCGATTCATTGTTATTGTGCTTGGGCTGTCGCCCGTTGCACAGAGCACTTTTGTAGCGGTTTTGCTGTGATAGTTGTTCTTGGGTTTTTTTGAAATCTTCTTTACGCACTTGTTTGTTTTTGCCAAAATTGGTAGAACTTTGTTTTTGTAACTGATGGTACTCGCGAAGTTCTGCCGATAGCACGTCTTTACTCAATGAGGTTTGGACTGGTACTGACGTTATTATTTTATTTCCGTTATTTCTATATAGATTATTCGATCTTTCCTGTAGCGGCGTCGAATCACTTGGAAGAACACAAGCGATAAATAGGTACACAAAAAGAGCAAGACCGTGGGCAAAAGCCCGCGTGTCTATCACTATCACTGCGGACGGACGGTATTTAAGCTCCAATTCGCGGCGGAGCTTGAATCACTCGAATCGGAATTGGAATCAAAATGTGCTACAGATATAGCTTCAGCTTCGCCCTGATCGCGGTGCTGCTCTTGGCAGCCGGAGTGCTCGGAGCTCCCTCGGCTATTCGGTTCGTCTGCAACGTGGTCACCCAGACCTGCGAGGAGTTCGTCTACGGTGGCTGTGGCGGCAACAAGAACAACTTCCTGACCAAGGACCAGTGCGAGCTGTTCTGCCTGGGAAAGTCCGGAGTCTCTCCACCGAAACGAGCACTAGTGCCTAGGCTACTCTGATTTCTACTGCGCAGTTCATAGTTCATTTCATTTACGCATTTACGCATTTTCAGTACGCAACTCATAGAAATATTGTTGTTTGAATAAATGTACATGGTTTTTAAGAGAAACCACTGTTCGGCGGTTTGAATCGAAAGTTTGTTATCTCCTAAGACAGCAATAATCTCTCTGCGGGTTTCCGCAGCAGTTTTTCCCTGTGCGAAATAAAATTTCAAAATTGCCCGAATTTCTGCGTTTGTCAACTCCATTTCAATCGATTGTAATTTTTTAAGGTGGAAGCTCGTGTAAACAAACTATATGTCATTTTAAAGGTGCTGCTAATACCTTTCAAACGATATACAGCATTGCCAGATACGATTATATTTGAATTCACAAGCGAAGCGCTAAATTTGAATGTAAAAACCGGTATGTCATTACCAAAAAACCTATTATGTTGTCTACTATGCTTATCCATTATTTGAGTTGAAATAGTTTAAATGGATGTGACATCTAGAATACGCAGATCTGAGAAAGTACAATATGGAATCTCCAGCTTTTGACAGCAGCGCGACTTTTGCTTCGAAAAACATATTGTTTCTTTTTCCATATAATATGCACTTTGACATTCAGTGAAAGCATGAGTAGGAAATAAAATCGGGCAATCTCACATTTGACTCACCGGCCAGAGCTTGGTTTAATTTGCTCTATGTGGAGCTAAGTAAATAGGTTTGTTTGGGAGCGGGAAGAGTTTTTAACACAAGCTCAAAGCACTCTGAGTGCTGTCTGTTTATTTGCCATGAGCACGTCGATAAGATCCCCGCCGATTTGTAGTTTCCCCTCCGGATCGGGCGTAGAGTATATAACCTAGCGCTTGGGTTTCGATTGTCGTTAGTCGCGAAACGAGAGCTGCGAAAGATTATCCTACCAACCGAAATCAGAATGAAGTCCATTGCTGCTATCTGTGTGCTCTTCGCCCTGCTGGGAATTGCCTTTGGCCTCAAGGATCGTCAGTGAAAGTCGTGTGGAACCTGAGAACTATTTTAATCGCAATTTTCCCCACAGCTGTCTGCGGACTGCCCCCAGCACTTGATGGTAATGGTGTTATCGGTTGCAAGGCCCACATACCCTCCTTCAGCTACCATGCCGATAGCAACTCCTGCCAGCGCTTCGTCTACGGAGGATGGGGAGGCAACGCCAACCGATTCGACAGCCAGGCGTCCTGCGAGCAGAAGTGCAAGGAATAATGATCCGGAAACCAATACGAAAATTATTCGGAAATTAACTATGCCGAATAAAAGGCTTTTCAATAGATAACTTGCACCGTTCATATATATTAATAATAAAACAAACAAGAATTAAAAATAATTCTTCAGTATGGTAAAATATATTTACATATTTTAAACTGTAAGTATTGTTAAAGTGGTAAGGCCCCTGTTCAAATTTCGCGGCTTAGGATGACTGCTTGCTTTGAGAGACAATGCACAGCGTACTAAAAGTGGTGTGTGCCCAGGCTAGCTGTGGAAGGTGCCCTTACTATTAACGAACTAAAAAAACACAGCACATCTGCATGAAACAGCTGTTCAGATTACACAAATTTAATTAAATTGAATTGAAATCGCAGTAATTTAAGGTGAGATAACGAAAATATTGTTGTTAATTAATTAAAAATGTCTTATACAGCACCGCTGTTGCAAGGAATTCCGCAATTTTGGATGGCTCTCGTCACCAATCGAATTTTAGTTATTGGTTTTCATGATGTTTCGACACTAAGAAAAAATCAGTTCTGCATTAAATCTTAATAATCAGGTAAAATGAGATAAATAATACAATCTGTAGGCCTTAACAGAGATTTTATTAATTTCAGAGAGAGGTTTGCGGACTTCACTGATCGGGGTGAAGGCCACCTGGAATTTTCTCGCGTTTTCCCAGGAAAAAACCAGCAAAATGGAGCGCAAGGAAGTGGACACCGAGCAGTTCATCGACCACGTAAGTCGGAACAAATAACTATGGGATATAAACCCCAGATTTAACCGATTCCCTGGCTATGCAGACGCTGCTGGCCACGGAGCTGATGCGGGATCCCAACCACTTCATAATGGACCTGATAGATCACACCTACAAGGCCGAGGGACCCACCAATTTGAGCACGAATCCCGGGGCCGGGAACCCCGAGAACGGAGTGGGTTACGTGGAGAAGGAGTCCCTGACTCCCGAGCTGAACTTCCACAACACCATATTCCAGTTCGTGAACAAATCCTCGCCGGAGAACGACGTGGTGCCCCAGCCGGATTCCCAGCCAGCGTTTCCCGCTCTGGCCATCGAGCCCACGGTCCCCATCGACGTGTCCACGGGTCTGCACGAGGAGGAGGACCTGCTGTACGCGCACAACAACGCCTCCTGCACGAACGCCCGCAAGGTTCTGCCGCACAAGAAGCGCATCTCCCGGAAGCTCAAGGGCAACCTGGACGCCGATCTCGACCAGCACAAGCACGTGCAGGACGTGGCTCCCTCGGCCCTCTACAGCTGCGAGATCTGCGGCTACGCGGTGCAGACCCAGCTGGACTTCTTCGCCCACCTCAAGCAGCACTACGAGCCCACCGTCTTGGAGCAGCGCCTGGTGGTCCAGGATCCCCAGCAGCAGCAGAAGGAGCCGCTCGACATGTGCGGGCTCTCTGCGCAGGACAAGGTTTGACTTACTCTTCCTTTTAGAATACCCTTCCTCACTTTTGGCTTCCCACAGCTGCAGCAGGAGCAGGCCAAACTGGACCAGGTGTTCCACGACGTGCAGCTGAACTTCGAGAGCTTCCACAACATCGGCCACCACGTGGACGACGTGGCCAGCGTGGGCGTGGGCGTGGGCGTCAACATGGTGCTGCACGGCCAGGGCGCGGACAAGCTCAATCCCGTGGTGGTCAACAGCAACAGCACCCCGAACTCGGTGCCCGTGGTGGACGACGTGGAGTTCAGCGACACGGAGGACATGCTCGAGGGCATCCGCAACGTGGTGGACAAGGTCTCGATAGAGGACACCTGCGACGAGCTGGTGGACCTCGAGCTGACCTCCAGCGGGATGACGGCTCCGTGGTTCAACAACAACTTCCGGGACATCGCCTTCCCGGCTCTCCTGCTGCCCGGCGAACCTCCGCCGGCTCCCGGGGATCAGGCTGCTCCTCTTCTGAAGGGCCATCCCCATGAGAGCGAGCACATCACCTTGGACTTCCTCAGCCCGGAGAAGGGAGTACCCCAGGTGGAACCGAAGCTGGAGAAGTCCCTGCCCGAAGCCAGCGAAGAGCATCGGCAAACCTTGCTGGTGGCGCCGCCCGCTTGCCAAACGCCACCGCCTCCACCGGTGGGACCTCCGACCAGCTCCTCCATCGAGCAGCTGCAGAGATCCCCGCTGGAGCTGGGCGAGGAGTTCAAGCTGGAGGACGACGACATGACCGACAGCCGGGCGGCCTCCCCCTTCGAGGAGGGAGATCCCGAGGAGGCAGAGGACGCAGAGGAGCACAACGAGAGCTTCTCGATGGAGGGCCTGGAGGCGAGTGCGGAGGAGGAGGCGGACGCGGAGGCGGAGAGCAAGACGCGGAGGAAGCACTTCTGCGACAAGTGCAGCCGGGACTTCAACTCCTACAACGCGCTGAAGTACCACCAGTACACGCACAACCAGCAGCGATCCCACAAGTGCGACTCCTGCGAGAGGTCCTTCTACACGCAGAGTGCTCTGAAGGCCCACGAAAGGACACGTGAGTCCTGGCAACCTAGCTAGCTAGGAGATAAGAAGACTAATATGCGATCTCCTCCACAGATTCCGGGGTGAAGCCGTTCAAGTGCGAGAAGTGCGACCTGAAGTTCCGGCAGTGGGGCGACCTCAAGTACCACAAGATCTCGCGGCACAGCGACGTGAAGGCGCACATGTGCGAGTTCTGCGGCAAGAGCTTCTCCAGGCGGTACTCGCTGGTGCTGCACCGCAGGATCCACACCCGGGAGCGCAACTACGCGTGCCAGCACTGCGAGAAGACCTTCCGGGCCAGCTCCTACCTGCTCAGCCACATCAAGGTGCACACCGGGGAGCGGCCGTACGAGTGCTCCGTCTGCGGGAAGAAGTTCCGGGTGTCGGGCGACCTGAAGCGGCACTCCCGGATCCACGACCCCGCCAAAAGCAGCCAGCCCAGTCAGCCGAACCAACCGAGCCAACCGCCTGCGGAAAAGGTCAGGAGGCGGCGGGCAGTGGCGAATGCCAATGCTAAGCTGATGCCAATCGAAGAAGATGGCGGGGGGATGGCCATCCAAACCAATAAGTCTGACGCCCTGCGCGACCCAGGTGGACAGGAAATTCTGGGCTTATAGCCTCCACGCTGTGCCAAGGTTTCTCCCAAGTAGGATTACTCAAGAATCTATATCTATCGTACGCGTTTTGTACAAGTCGTGTATATAAATAAGACTAAGGCTGCATGCTCGTATTCATAGGATTTCAAGGAATTATAGTTCAAAATCGAACCTTAAGTGCATCTGTATCATAATTCTTCGGGTTTATCAGATCAGATGGATAGATCTTACCTGCAATAAAAAGGCACAATTCAAACTCTTCTATTGCAGAGCATTTCTTTATTATTTTGTATCTTTTCTTTTTCGTCTTGTCATCTTCACTTCATTCGTTTTCTCAAATGTTCTGTTTTCATACTTCTTTCTCTCTTTTGCACTTGTACCGTTCGTCGACTTAATTGTTAATGAGTAAGTATATATATATATATGTATATATATATATTAAATATATATTGTTATTATTAATGTAACTATGTACAACACAAGTTTTTGGGCGCCTGTCGCCGGGCCCAAAACGCAATGAAATCTTTGTATTCTTTGTTTACAACATAATTTGTTTCTCTATTTTTGTCGTTTTTGTTTTTGTTTTTCAAAAATATTTAACATAAACGCCCCGCCAAACATTCCGTAGATTTGTGTGTGCTTTCCGTTTTTGTTAGCCGTTCTCACAGTAATTTCCATCGCTTAAGAGCTTATGAACTAAAATCCTAGTATTGGTTGCTTCACCAGCGTCTCATCTTTTCCACGCCTTATGTACGCTCAGTCCATGATATCTTTCGATTCTCCCGCTTGTTTTTATTTTATAATATAATATAATTTCCCTCCTATCCTCCTCTGCTCCTCTCTGGTTTAATGGATAATTAAAAATTACGAAAACTGCATTCCTAGTATCGGTATCATACTGCACTGCACCCCAGCCTGATCCCAACTGATCCATCGATCCTCCTTCGGCTCCCCGCAATTATTATAGTATTCTTGGTGTCTTGGTGGTGTGGATTATGCTGATTTGGTAGGTTGAAGGTGTCGTATGTGGAGTGTGGTGTATGGTGTGTGAATCCTTTAGTGGGCATGAGATGGCTATTGAAAACTAGCGTACGAAACATTGCGATCCTCTACTACTTTTGGAGTCAACTGAAGTTCTGCCCGCTCTCCGCCAGCAAATACGATTTAAAAATTAGCATTACGTTGAATATTTCGCTGTGGCTCTGCTTCATTGTTTGGATTTACATATATAATATATGGTACTTAAAAATGTATGTTTTAATTTGCTTTGCTATGGCTGCACACGTTTACTGGTTTTAGTTTCGATTCTTTTGGTTTCATTGAATTGAATATGGGTTTACTTGATGCGTTCTGCTGTCCTCTGTTTAGTTTCTTTTTCTTATTTTTGTTTGACAAAGAAAGGATTTAATTATGCTTCACTAATACACATATGAGCTGGCAAACATAGTCCAATTGTTTAATTGTTGCGCTTACTAGTCGTCCGTCCATCAAGCAATCATCAATCATCAATCATCAATCACATTGGTAAAACTAAAGAGCTTTAATTGAATGCATGAGTGTTGATGGCAGCTTTTTGGTTTTGTTTTTGTTTTGTTTGTTTTTGTTTTCGATTCACTTAGTTGTGGATAAATTGAATATTGTTTATAAAATAGCTTGCTATTTTATGTTGTACATTAAACACATATTTAACTGCTGTTTTTAAACTGCCGCTGCGACAGTTTCTCTTTCGGCTTCCTCATACAAAAGTTTGTTTGCGTTTGTTTGTTTATACAATTTCAGTTGCTATTGTTGCTTCACATTGTTGCTGTTACTATTTCTTCGACCCAGTGTTCTCTACTCTATTTTCCCCTCTATTTTCCGTACTTCCCGCTATCCCGCTTTCCCTAGCAGTTTTCCCAGCCTTCCTTCGATCTATAGAAATATAATTCTCTCTCTTCGTAAATTTTCGAGTCTTCTGCCACATCACCACAAGTGTTTTTCGTCGGCTTTTAAAAAATTAAAATACTTTCTACTCCGCTCTTTCTTCTGCTGATGGCATGCCAATTCTTCAAAGGTTTTCCCTTTATTTTCTCCCACACAAATACAATATTTACAGTTCTCAGTTTGCACTGGCTGACTTTTATCCTCTAAATCCATTTTTTACACTCCCCCAGAGATTTGACTTAAATTTATTTTTAATCAACTTTTGTGATCCTTTGCCATACGACTTGCGTATCGCCCTTCTTTACACCCACTTTCGATCTGCCTTTCACCCCGGAGCTTTAAATCTATTGTGTTTTGCATTCAACTCTCGATCTCGATCCCAGATCGCGTTTTTGTTACAGTTTTTCAGTTTAAAATTGTGAAAAAATAGCTGCATCTATTGTAAATTTTAGGTTCCTCTCTTCTGGTTTTGTTGGTTTGCGTTAAAATTTGAATTACCTTTAGATTTATATAATTTGATTTGATGATATTTAACTCTTGCTGTTTGTCCTTGAATCTGCTGTTGCTGCTGCTTTATCCGATTTGGGTGGCATTATCTGTTGTTCTCCGATCGCAGATTCAGATCCAGATTTAGATTCAGTTTCAGTGGCCTGTTGCTGTGGTTGTTGGTTCGTATAAAAAGTCTTTGATTTGCCCCCCATCCTCCCGCCTTCCACTTCCACTTCCACTTTCACTTCCAACTCCTCCCTCGACTTTCTCCTTTTTCCGGCCGGCTGACCACCTTAGTTAGTTAGCCTGCGCGGCATTAGAGACTAACCTGCTGCATCTTATCAAAATCTAAACACGGCCGATGCGGTCGCTGCAGTCTCTGGGTGGCGGCGGCGGTGACGTTGGCGGCATTTCCGCCATTTCCGCCGTTTCCGGCGTTCCCGGCACTTCCGGCGGAGTTGGCAGCGTTGTGTGTCGTTGACGATGGCGATATTGTTGCGGGCGGACCGCCGGCATTGTTGCTGGGTCGCCGCCGGGGCGATATGGCGCAGTGGAACAGCTTCGCCGGCGGACTGACCGACCGCACCTCCATGTCCAGCCCGGTGGTGCTGGCCGGACTGCTCCGCGAGCTGTTGTACGGGAAGCTGTACTTCGGCTGCGGCTGGTAGATGTGGTGGCTGCTGTTGCTCATCTTCAGCGAGCTGCTGCACGCCTTGATTGCACTCGGCTCGTTCTCGTTGCCGCCATTTCCGGTTGCCCCAGCTGCCCCAGTTGCTCCGCCAGCTGCTCCTGCCGATCCGATCTTAGCACACTTGCTGCCGCCGCCGCCGCCGTTGTCGCCATTCTCCTCGTTTACACTATTATCACATAATTTAATATTTTCGATGCCACAGCGGGCCTCCGACAATATCAGTGGCGTTGTGGAGCGGAACATCATATGGCTACGATTTGGCTTGAATGCCTCCAATGGCGGCGATGTGCGGAAATTCACGGGCGTCAAAATGGGCTCCAGCGAGTTGCGCAGCTGTTGGGGGAGAGGTTGGATTAAAAAGGATTCTATTCTGTACAGAATTCAATGGATTCCCAACCCACCTCATCGTCGGAGCTGTGGGCCAGCGACCGCTTGCGGTTCTCCACCATCAGCGTGGAGCTGGACCGCTTCGAGTTGGAGGTTGTGGCCCGCTCCTCGTAGGGCGCCTCCGTGTCCAGCGAGGAGGTGCATCCGCGGTTCGAGATCCTCGAGGCGCACGAGGAGCCCGCGGCCGCCGTTCCGCCGGGATGCTGGCCCGCCTGCGAGGACGGCCCGTTGATCACCTCCAACTCCTCCTCGGAACTGTGCTGGTCGTACATGAGATGGGCGCAGGATGACGACGTCTGCTGGTGACACATCATTGCAGGAGCGGTTGCTTTTTGGCCAGCAACACCTGGGCGATGGGAAGGATGTTATTAGTAGTGATCCTTGTACAAATTTTGTATGCAACAAGTACTAATAGATAGGATATTTTCGCTCTACAATTAAGCCAGTATTTCCGCGTAATTCTTTTTTAAAATACCAATGAAGTAACATTAAATCAGTTTGCTGCCAAACAAGGTGCAACATCAACAAGTTTTTTTTCATTTCGTTTCTATTTGTTTGGAGCTTAAAAGTGTAAATGGAACTTCAAGCCAAAGTGGTGGATTTTAGTTTCGAAATAGTTTCAAAATACGCCTTCGAAACCTGTCTTTTGAGTCAGTCACTTACTAGTTTCCATATCCACGTCTAAGTGACGTTGGTTTTCCACATCGAGGAGTTCACCATCAGATTCGGTGCCAGAGTCATTCGATTCACGCTGAAAAGAGTTGTAATGAAATTGTCAGTAACAAAAGTTGGATAAATGACTTTATTGCCAGAAAAGATAATTATTTTTTTTTAGAAAATAGTTTATAAAATATTCACTCAAAACGCCCACCTTTTTACGCATAAAATTTTTAGATGCCCTCAGTGTGTTTTCGCGATTTTTCTGCCTGACAAACTTTATCATGATTTTCCGCTTTGGCTCTTAGTCGCTCCACATGCCACACGCACACAAGGACAACGGTGCACCCACGTCTGCCTTCTCTTTCTACTACTATTACTACATACTACTGACTTTTTTGCCGTTGCGCTTTACACGCTGTTTCTATTTATACGCCTCCGCATGTATTTTTGTTTGTTATTTTTACGCGCTGCTTCGTTTTGCGATTCCGCTTCGCTCTCTCTCTCTCCCACTCTCTCTTAGGTTGTAAGTCCGTAGCTAGCGAGTAACGGTGGCGGTGAGAAAGTTTTCGCTCTCTCTCTGCTTAGAACAAAGTTTTTCATCCATCAAACCATTTTTTGTGAGTTTCGCGGTATTTAACCGGTAATAAGCAAAGGTTTCTTATTCTGGAAAATGATTTTCGTTTGAGTCGAACATCGGGTTACGAGTTTTTTATTGTGATTCACAATCTCTCTTTCCTTCAATCTCTTTCGCGCACACTTGGTCCTTACGCGTAGTACTCAAAACACCCGAACTCAAATCCCGAACGGAATATCCGCGCACCTTTTGCCGTAACTTATACAGCACGGAATTATCGATTTTTTTTTGGCACGGGAACGGAAACCAGACGATGGGAAATTCGCAAAAAAAAAAAAACAGGCGCACCGCACCACCGAAGGGTTAAGCTCAACTCTTAGCTGCTTTTTAGCCCATCGAAATTCGGGTTTCAACACTTTGTGGCAGGAGCTCCTGTATTCATTTTCTCCTAGTCCTTTTTTCCGGTCAAAGTGCAGTTGTGCAACTATTTTTGATCCGCCTACGCCTGCTGACTTTGCTGATTACTACGGCGTTACTGTCTGTATCGGGTATATATCGCATATATATCGCATACGACCCATTGCCCGTCACCGGCTAACGTTGCGCTCCAACTGAAAACTCATTGCGCCCACAATGTGGCAAGGCAACACTACACTGTTGTCTCCAAGTCTCTGCAAATCTCTGCGCTGGCGCTGGAGAGAGACTCCCCATTCCCAGCCCCAACCAATTCTCCACTGCGTGCAGCCCACGAGTCTCTTCTCGCTTGCAATTTCCAGAGTTACCAAATGGCCAGTGCTAATCGGATTTAACAGATCAAATAAGAGTTTAAAGGTACATATTAAGAAAAATTAAAAAAGGATGCTTCGGACCTTCGGACCCAAATTAAGTGAAATTACGAACCAGGGGTCAGTGGCGGATTTACCATATAGCCAACATAGGCAGCTGCCTAGGGCGGCAAATTTTTAGGGGCGGCAAATTTCGACTGTTAACACTACTACGACTGTTAAAGGTGAAAATTAGGCTGCAGTCTAGGGCGGCAAAATCAAAACTGCCTAGGGCGGCAAATTGTCTTAATCCGCCCCTGCCAGGGGTAGAAACAAATTTTAGATGTTTTAACAAAAACCAAAACCATAAATGATCGTTAGTTAGTAAACCCAACTATGAACTGCTTTCGGACCCCGATCGTATTACACAACAATGTAGTCTTGTTTAATTGCAAAAGTTGCGCACTGTAATTGATTGTGGATAATGGGCGTGTAGTAATTAGCCGTGGAAATTAACATTCCCTGGCAAATTTCTTTGGTATGATTTTCTTTTGTGTGCAGGCTGTTTTCCCATTCATTGAATTCTTCGCCCATTCCCACCCAACAATTGCGCAAAACGCGTTCGTCTGGCAACCCTGGCCGCGCACTCACAAAGTGCACTTACTACACTTTGGATGCGATGCCCGTGTGGGCGCTCATGGAAAATTGGGGGGGCGTCGGGGGGGCGCCGAGGGGCCTAACGTAGTGCTGTTCGCTTTTGTACATGCGCGCTCCACTCGTGCCTCCAACAACGATGGTCAATGTGCCGCACAAAATTATAGGGGACTCGATATTAATAATACCAAAAACGTTAGAAACCTTGGATACCATTTAAGCAACTTGGTCGTTATAAAACAATATTTAAATATGGCATGGGATTTCCAAATTTATAATGTGTTAGGTGTTCTTTTAATTCCCATTCGGGAGATGAAATCAAACCTATGTGGAGGTGGACCATGTACTCAAACATGGCTCTACAACTTTGTCGCGCACCTTAGTATTTATAGACAGAAGAAGAAGCAGCTGGAGCGGGCAGATTCCTATTCCTATGACTATATGCCTATATATCCATGTCTATGAGTAGTAACGTGTGGCAGCAAACAGAAGAGAGGGAGAAAGGAAAAAGCAAAAGAGGGGGCAAGAGGGGCATGGATGGAACTACGGCAAAAAGTGAAATAAAACGAAGCGTGCGAAACTCGTTGCAACTATGATATGGGAAATTGTTTGGAGCCACCGAATGTGGAAAACATGACATGGAAAACTACGCACGAACTGGTTTTTCGGCTGCTTGAGGAAGTTTTCTACATTTTTATATAAAAAATATTTTGTTTTATATTTTTGGGATGGCTGCAGTCTCCCGTTTTGTGTCTTTTCAAACATGGAGATTTTTATACGAGTAATATACATAAAATAAATATTGTTTGATTGCTAAGTAAAAATTAAAGAACTCTTCCTAGCGTAATTTATATTTTTTTAAGCGTACAAGCAATCCCTTTCAAACTCAGTTTTACTGTTTTTAAGGAGTTTTGGAATAATTTGTACTATTAATAGTTTAAGTAGAGATAAACTTTTTGAGGTTTGTTCATAATTCTAATCTGTAATACTTTTTTTGTTTGGGCCTCAAGTTTTGGCATTTTTGCAACTTCCTCGTGAGCTTTTCAATTTGCTTTCAATTTTACGCGGAAAATTTTACTACGAGTCTACGTGCCACAAATACATGCACATAGCCCCACACACATGCACTTGCCTCTCTCACAAGTCGAAGTACTTTTGTTCCATTCATACCACACATACACTCGCTTTTTGGCTCTCTGGAGAGAGCGTCTGACGTAGGTGGGCGGTGGGTGAAAGGAGGAGGCGGGGGGTGGCTGGTGGTGCAGCCTTCAGCTTGAGTTCTAAATTTAGCACTCAAGCTTGCAACTTCAGCCTCTCACACACGCACAAACACTGGCACAGTCACCGTTAGTCCAAAACTTACTTGATTCGCTCGCTCTCTTTCTGGTTATCTCCGTCTCCCTCTTTGATTGTTGGTTTTCCTTTTGTTGATCACAAAATTGTTTATTTTTTTTATTTATTTGTATTCATTATTTTTCGGCTGTGGAAATGCAGGAAAACTAGCGGAAAAGCGGACCAGCGGCGGGCGAGTGAAAAACGATGAATGGCGCTTAAACAGCACGCGACTGGATTTTTGGAGAATTGACTTAACAAGCGCCAAAGAGAAGCGAATTTCCTCTCTTTTACTCTCTCGCTCTCCCCAACTGCTGCTCCAGCAGTGGGGCCCAGACAGCTTTTTTCCGTCATATGCAGCTTTGAAGCCAAAAGCGGAAAACTTCTGTGCAGCATAAACAGCATCTCAAGCAGTGTTAATACTTAGAAAATTCTAATTTTAGCCTTTTTTGGTTTTAATTTAAATTTATTTTTTTTTATTCTTTCCTTTTAAATCTGCAAATAGTTCTAGCCGCAATAAAAAGTTTTTTGGAAATATGTGCTTCCCTCTAGAGGTGGCAACACTGCTCCCCAACAACAAAACTGCAAACTGGTCTCTCACTGCGCGTGCCTTGCATAAAAAGTAAACCCAGAAAACATTTTTTCGTGCCAAACTAATCTGTTTTTATCAATGTCGTAAATGAATATTCTGGCCACTACAAAGCTTTTTATTTAAGTTATTAATTAACTACTATTATTTTAACTACTTTGAGAAAAATCGATTTACTTTTAAACTCAAAAACAGCAAAAATTGAGGACGCTGTTTAACAAGCAACATATGTACAAAAATGTTGCCAACACAAGAGTACAATTGATGAAAGTTTGTATTTACCAAATAAAATAATACAAGCCAGCATTTCAACCAAATTTAAATTTTATATGGAAGTCAAAATAAAACAATTTAACTATAAACAAATCTGCAAATTTTCCTAATTTATAAAAAATTACGACAATTCCTTATATTTTGGGTACGTATAAATGTGTAATGAAGCTTAGCGTGGACTCGAACCTTAAAACGTTTTGGTGTAAAATGTTTAAATTTTACTTTACTCTGATCGAGTCAAAATTTTTCTTACGATGGCATCCAATTCTTTAACCCCGATTTAATTCGAATATTTCCTACTTTTTTTTTAGAGGATAAGATAAGACTTGAAAACTTTGACGACAATGCCATCTACAGCATTTTTATAAATTTTCATTTAATTCGTTTTATTTTTCTGTTTATATACAACAACTTATGATTAATTCGTTCGGCAAATATTAATCGTAGACTTAAGACTAATGGATGGAATGATCTAAGTTTACCACAAAAAAACAACGGGCGGGCGTGTTCGTCTCTCTTGGTCTCTCTCTATCGTAATCTCGATTTAAAAATTATACTTTAAGGGCAAATAAAAACTACGAAGCTGTTGTGGTTGGAACCTCGAGCGCACCTGACAAAAATTAGGCAAGGACCTACAAATCTAAGGAATACCTATTACCTTTCAAAGGCACTACCCTCTTATTCAAGACTTCAATTTCTTGACTAATCAAGAGGAGATGCTATCTAAGAACGAACCTCTTAAGCAGAAAACTAAACTAGAGTTCATTGTGTTTTGTCAGGTCCGCAAAAAGCTCGGTGTCGAGTGAGTGTTAAATTAGAGTATGAAGTGGATGACGACTCTTCACATGGCAGTTTCCAGTGGCTGGCTGTGACTTCGTCCGTTTGTCTGCAGGGGCTGCAGTCCCCCCGCCCCACCGTCCCCATCAAAATCCGTCTCCAGCAGGGCCTCCGACTTGGAGCGGTGGTACGGATTGGTCAGCGGAGACGGGCTCGTCGGCGAGGACTCCCCGGAGGCCGTTTGGTAGAGCGTCTTGGGACGGGCGTGGGTCGGTCCACCCGAAGGCGCCACATTTGGTGCGGCCGGGGGTTGAGCCAGGGGCCTCGGGGTCCGGTAGTGCGAGGCTGGAGCCTTGCTGCTTCTGACGGCCGTGTAGTACGAGTCCGGCCGCCGCATGTCAGCCGGCGTTGCCTGCTGGCTGGGGACCGAGGGCGCCGGACGGTACAGTGAGGACTCCGTGGAGTAGTTGAACTGGTCCAGTTTTTGATCGAAGGGCAGGGAGTCGCCGCTGCTCCGCTGCGGCATGAAGCTGCTGTGGGAGCTCCTCTGGTACTCCGGCAGGTTCTGCTTCAGTTCGCTGAGGAAGGCCAAGCCGGGCTGGCCGCGCCTTCCGCCGGCGCTGCTGCCACCTGCCTCGGTGCGCAGTGGCAAGGTGCTGGCGTTGCCGTAGTAGTCAGAGCCACCCTCGTCGACGTCCTGGTCCGTGTGGTGTATGATTGGCGTGTCCTCGGCTACACTGGTGCTGATCGAGTTGGCTCTGGTGCCTCCACCGTAGGTGGAGTTGTCCCGGAATCCCTCGTTCCGGTAGCTCAGCTCGAAGGCGTCCGGTTCCAAGGCGGCGGCTGCGGCGGCGGCAGCTCTCGCCCGGTGGCCACTCGCCTTGGAAATGGTGGCCACCTTGTGGCTCTGGTGATCCTGGGCGGGCTGCACCGGTCGCAGGGCGTTCTGGTTCACGTACTCGTTGTAATGGGGCTTCTGCTCGTAGCCCTCGAAGCTGCCGGCCTCCGAGCTCAGGACGCTTTTGTCCATGGAGTCAATGGAGCCATTGGCCACCATCTGCTTGTAGTCCTGAGCCTTGGACAGCGTTCCGTTGCTGGACATGTTCTGATTTCGCCAAACAAAAGCAACAACATAAAACGGAAAAAAACAAAAGGGGAAAAACGAAATGAAAAACTAAGAACTGATCAAATCAAAAGAAAATCATACATAATTGGGCCTGCGGCGAAGGGAACCCTGCGGATCAATGCTGTTCAGGCTGCGCAAACTCTGGCGGATGCTGTTCCTCCGCTGGAGCCGCTGGACATGCCGGTGCTTCGACTTGGCGAACCAGCAGAAGGCCACCAGGATGAGCAGGATAATGGCGAGGACGAAGGCCGAGATAATACTGATGGCGAAGATGTCTGCGCGCCAGGACAAGGGATCAATAATCACCTGATGAAAAGAGATTAGTAAGGGTTTAGGTTACATTAATTTGTTCCTACTCTTGGATCCATTTCGCATATGAAACCGCGCTCCTTGCTGCACTCCTCCAGTTCGATCTCCCCAAACACGAAGCTCGTGCAGCGCTCAATGTGGTTGTAGTCCTGAATCCAGACCTTGTCCGGGTATTTGAGGTGCCTCATCTGGCTCTGCAGATACTTCCACAGCGTGGTCTTATCCGTCCGAATGAACGGCATTGTGGAGTTCTCCGAGCGACAGAAGTCCCGAGCCTCGTGGAAAGTCATGGGTGCCCCCACGTAAATGAAGCAGGTGTCATGCACTAAAGCCCAACCCGGAGGACACTTGCCATCCAGAATGGTTTCGTTGTTCATTTGGAAGGGCACTGCCAGAACCTCCAGCAACATGGGATCATCTATTTAATGGGATCAATTAATTAGAGCTTATGTTACCTATTTGTTTTTATAGAAACTCACCTGATTTATCTCTGATACGACTCTGCACTGAAATGGTATTATTATAGCTCCAGTAATTGTGGCGAGCATCAATCTTAGAGCTCCAGGTTTCAAAGGTCCTAGTTGAAGAGATTTATAAGTTAAATATGTTGCATTCGGTTATCTAATATTTTGTCTTACCTGTTTTCATAGTCAAAACTCAAACTACAGGAAGGAAAATTGAAGGAAATATAGAAAAAGGCATCGATTAGGCACCCAGAAACAGATTGAAAAGTGAAGTTGTGAAAAGTAAATGCAACTTTAGATAAAACTTACATCGAATTGTTGACGGTTAACAGCTCATAATCGTTTTCGTAGTTTTCGAAAATGTTATCCACATACTGCTGACCCGCTGTTCCAGCCACAATTGTTGCCCTGGTCATCCAGTTGGTGGCGAAATTTCTAAAAGCCATGGATGTTGCATTTAATATAATATGTAATTACTTTCTAGTAAAGCAAGGCATACCTGTAGAAACCATTGTGAGCCGTGGTCTGGTAGATCTGCAGTCGCACCTTTTCGAATCCGGAAACCTCCATGATTCTTCCGCCGACGTTGCTGTGCACGTAGTTGTAGCTAAAGTTGGACACCACTTGGCACAGTCTGATCACGTCCTCGTATCCAGCCATATTTTGGGCAAAGTAGTTGCGGTACAGCTCCACTTCCTGATACGGCGAGGACTGCCGACCCTCCACGAAGAGAGCAGGACGGTTTCGATTCCTCATGAAGAGGTTGTGGTGAACAAAGCCGCGAAGCGATGTGGCCGAACCCCGAGAATCGGCTCGGATCTTCAGGCCTCCCTGGTTTTCTGCTATTAAATTGTTCTGAAGATTCAAAAAGAATGCATTATAGATTTGTATCACAAGTTGCTTTCATCTCCACTCACCATAAAGTACAGGGAATTCATGTTCTGCACATCCAAATTCAAAGCTGAAGTGCAGGTGGAGAAGTTGCCATACAATTGCCGACAGTTCTTCTCGATCCGATTGCCTATGAGGGTCAAAGTGGGCGTGACCTCTCCCGCCGAGGAATAGCTAACCGCCCCCTTCATCGCACCTGAGATGTGAGTATCTGTGATGTTGTGCAGAGCATCGCGATCTGTGGAATTATCAGAGGATTTAGTATATTGACATATCCAGATTACTTAAGCGGTTAACTTACATTGGCCCAAAGTGGAAATGGGCACGGTCACGACCTCAGCTATGAAACCGTGGGTTTCGGGAGCACCACTGGCCACCAACTGGAGGCTCATCGTTGGGCCCTTGGTCTTGAAGAACGCCCTTTGGTTATCCGTATCGGACTCAATTTTGCCCAAGTAGGTCGCCGTCACGTTGTAGATATCGCCGTCGTACAGCTTTATAAAGTCCGTTCGTCCGTACAACTTTGAGTGATTGAAGAGATTGGATTGCAGCAACCGGAAACCAATTGGCTTGGCTCGGAACGCGGAGGTGAAGATCTTCACACAGTTCACGGGGTTGTTGTCGTACTTGTAGTAGACTATCATCCGTTCCTCGATGGTCAGCACCTTCTGGGGATCGCAGATGTCCACCAGGGAGAAGAGCTTATACGGAATGTCTAGTTTCTTCAGCGGAGTGAAGCTGGATTCATCGCTATCGCGACCTTCGCCACTCAGGGACACAATGCTGATGCCGGTTCCCAATGTTTTGTTGATGTTCAGGTGGTTTAGGTTCAGCTTGCCACTGGGAGCTATCAGGTTGATGCCGTCGTTGGCCGAGTTCTCGATGCTCACCGAGGTTATCGAGGGGTTCTTGTGAATGGCCTGGATGGCAGCTGCCTTGTGGTTGTGGAGAATGCCGGCCTGCTCGATCCTCACGAACTCCAGTTGGCTCTCCCTCAGGGGCAACCTCGCATGCGATCTTGTGTTGTGCATACGGTGCTCGTACTGGATCTCCTCGAACTTGGAGTTGGCGAATCGGATGCCGCCCCAGTAAACTTCGTCGTCGGCCAAGCTGTTGCAGCTGACGAACACGAAGACGTCGTCCCACCGGCACTCGTGACGGTGTCCGTAGAGCTGGCCATTCAGGCGCTCGGCACAGTCCTCCATTCGCTCCTCGTCGCCTTGGCACTCCAGTGGCTGGACCCAGGACCAAATTCGGGTCAAGGAGTTCGTGTGGAACTCTATCCGCCGATCGTGGCCGTAGTAAACGTTCAGGGGATCGTAGCCCAGCTCCCGGCAGACAACTTGGGCATTCCGCTCCGTGAATCTGCTGTCGCAAATGGGAACCCATTGCAAAGTGGTGTGGTTGAAGTATTCCAGGAATCCCTCGTTCAATCCGAACATTCCGTCGGCGTCTCCGGTGCAATTATTGGCACTGGTGCAGAGTCTTATGGAGTCGAATTCGGTAAGGGGAGCACTCATGTCTTCTAGGGCGCGCTTCTTGGGCTGAGCATCCACCAGAGATTCCCTCGTGGCGTTCCTGAAGGGTCTCATCACGATGGGCGACTCCTTGTAACCAACCGCAGTCAGAGTACCCAAAACCAGTATGCCCACGTTGGGCTCAAACTCCATTGTGACCCCGTGGTTGATGGTCAGCGTCTTGCCAGGCATCACTGTGATGTCGGAGGATATATAGTAGGGGGTGCTCTGTCTCCTCAGAATCAGGTCCTTGTACACCCTGCCTCCTCGGTAGGTGGCCAAGTCGATTTCCTGATCCTGATCGAAGGGCACGACCACGGACACACTGGCGTCGTAGCTGTCCTCGATGAGGAAGGGTTGGTATATGACGTCCGCATGGTCGTTCCAGTTGTCGAAGTCGAAGATCTTGGCCTCTATGAAGGCGGTGTCCTTGGTGCCCCACCAGTTCTCCCTCGCCTCGAAGTAGTTGTTCAACCTGGCGGACCTCACACCCGCCACCAGATTGTAGTCCATTTCGTTTTCGGATATCAGATTGCGATACAGTCTGACGTTCTGGACTCCGTCCAATCGGATCACCGCGGTGGGCATCTTGTGCTGCTTCTTTATTCTCCTCGCAGCTTTCATGTAGTGGTTCCTGTAGTTCGCGGTCATGGTCACAATACTGTTGCCCTTGAAGCTGTTGTACTCGATGCTGGCAGGCACTTGTCCGATTATCTCACTGAGGGAGTCCGCCTTGAAGAGCAGCACGAATTTGGCGTTGTTCGCCTCGAAGCGATTGTTGTCGAAGCGCAGTCGCTTCTCCATTCCTTCGAGCGAAATCAGAGCTCCGGGACAGTTGTTCTCCCTGAAGACATTCGAGGTTATGTTGAACACGGTGTAGTGCCCGGAAACGGAGATGCGGAAGTCGCGATTCCTCTGCCAAGTGCTGTTGCCGAAGTAAATCGAGTGGGTGAAGTTCTCGTTGTACTGCCAGACATACGGAAGCGCCACCTGGAAGCCTCCATGGGTGTTCTGCTCCACAGTGGTGTCCTGAATCACGTAGTGGAATAGATTGTTTGACGATCGCAGGTCCTTCGAAACTTGTCGAATGCCAAGGCCGTTTTGGGTAATCAGCGAGCCGTTGAAATGCAGAGTGATCTCCGAAAGATTGCTGGAGATCACATCCCAGAAAGGTGACCTTATGAGTACGGCCTCCCGCTCGTTGTAGCTCAACTCGGAGTTGATTAGCTTAATCGACTCGTTGGCCTTCCTCAAGTAGTACTCCCCATTGTCGCCCAGGTAGCGATTGTAATAGACTCCTGTGATACCCCTCAGGTTCTTCTGTATCTTTGTCGACCGGATGGTGAGGGTGGGCACAGCTCCGCTGACTATGCGGTTCCTTATGTTTTGAACCGGAGCGGTGACTGTACTCAGCATCAGAACAGCTCCTCCCAGAGCTTGTAAGCCACTCTCGTAGTAGATTATAATGCCATAGCTGCTGCTCGTTGCGGGGAACACGGTCAAGTCCCTCTTAACTTGCCACAAATCGCTTCTAATGTTTTCTGTCCTGGCGTTCAGGATGTTAATGCTCTCTGTGGAGAGGTTGTGAATGGGGTTCAGGAGCTGGATGCCGATGACGTAGCCAGCTGGACACTGAACCACTATTTTCCTGTTCACATTCTGCCCGAGCAGCTCTTCGGTTCTAATGTACTTGTGCTCGAAGGTGCCCAAGTCTATGTTGCTGATTTCGTGGGGCAACACATAGGGATCGTAGTCCGTGTCGAAGGAGTTGAAGTCCCTGGCCATGTTGAACCACCCACCGATTTCCTTTTGGTCCAAGGCGGATATCACAGGGTCGTGGGAGACGCCACTTCCCTTGTTGTCCTTGATTATCGATCCCGAGATCCTGAAGTCGAGTTGTTTCAGGCTGATGCCACTTCCCCTGTTGCCAGAGAACTCCGAGTTCTTGATGTTGTTCACCGACTTTCCGGCGTAGATATCGGAGTACACAATGCCCAAGCCGTCTTGCAGGTTGTTAACGACCCTCACGTTCTCCAGGTTGTGACGGGCGTGGTCCATTTGCACGGCGGGCTTGAAGGCGTTGGTGGTGTAGTCGAAGAGTCCGGCCTTCTCCACAGTCACGTACTGCAGATCAGCCCGCTCGGCCAGCATGCTGAACCGCACGCCGGCCCAAGCTCCCTCGTAGCACCTGATGCCCACGTCGTTCTCGTGGCTGCAGGTGTTCTCGAACTCGTACTCCGCCTGGCACTTGGTGACATCGCGATCCTGCAGCGTGCACCTCACGTTGGCCACCAGGACGTCCTCGGAGGTGCCGGCATTCGGCAGCTGGGAGCGGAGTAGTCGCCAGTCCTGCGGGTTCAGGGAGTAGCCCAGCTGGTGGCAGACCAGGGCGGCGTTCAGGACATTCCAGCCGTAGTCGCAGACGGTGCCCCACCGTCCCTTGAGGTAAACCTGGAGCCTTCCCTCGTTGGCACCCGCACCCCCGACCAATCGAACCGGGACCCTGGGAACTCCGTCCGAGGGAACCGCCTCCGTTTCCATGTCAATCGCCTCCGTCTCGCTGTCCAGATCGATGGTCTCCGTGTCGTTGTGCTCGTTTATGATCGTTTCCCTTTTCAGGGTGAAGAGTATGTCGTCGGGGCGGCGACCTCTGGCCTCCAGTTTGCCCGCCACCATCATGCCCACGCTCGGCTCAAACTTGAGGATGGTTCCCGGCTGGAGGATGAGCTTGCCGCCGGGCCTGATGTTGATGTCCTTGGTGACCGTGTAGGTGCCAGCCGGCACCATGTCCTGGCCGTCCACCTCCCCACCGATGATGTCGCTGCCCTCGTGGAAGAAGCGGGGCACCACCGTGGAGACCGTGATCATGGCGGTGGAGCCCGGGTTGGAGCTGTGCAGCAGGTAGGGGATGTAGCTGATCTTGGCCAGATTGTAGCGGTCGTTGCGGTGGAAGAGCCTGGCGTAGATCTTGTTCTCGTCCGTATGGCCCAGCCAGTTGCAGGTGGCGTTGATGATCTTGCTCTGGTCCGTGAGCTGCGAGCCTATCTCGTACATGGAGTCCAGGTTGTGCAGGATGTTCCGGAACACGTCCACGTTGCTCGATCCCACGACGACGGGAGCGGCCACCCGGGAGCGGGGATTCAGGCGACCGGCCCCGTCACTTCCCTCCGAGCCAGCAATCAGTGGTCCGAAGGCCTCCGTGATGTTGTTCCCCCGCACGAAGTTCCGCGTGAAGAGGATGTACTGCACCTCCGCCCTGCTGTAGGGGGAGAGGCCCAGGGAAACCACGTGGACGCCGCTGTTCCGCATGAAGTAGTTGCTCTGGATAATGAGCCTCACCGGAAAGTAGTTGAACTCCGGGTAGATGTAGTCGTTGTTCACGAACAGGCAGCCGTAGGAGCCGAAGCGGAACATGTTGTACTCGATCCTCCCCTGGAGGTTCAGCGCCGGGCTGAGGAAGATCGAGTTCGCCTGGGAGTACTTGAACTGGTTGTGCCCCAGCTGGAGCTGCATGTTGGGTCGTCCGTCGGCGGTGGCCTGGTAGCAGGACTCGATGAATATGTCGTTCTGCTGGCTGCCGTTGAAGCTGTTTCCCGTGATGTTCACCCAGATGGGCCGGCAGAAGTTGCCGTGGAATACGCCCGTCTCCAGGTTGCCCCCGATCTGCGAGTACTCCACCACGCTGGTCTGGTTGAAGGGTATGTACTCCATGCGGTCCGCCTCCGCGGTGTGGTTCAGCCAGGTGGCCACTCCGTATCCCCTATTAGAGGTGAGAGCGGACCGCGAGATGTTCCGGTTGCCTCCGTAGTAGGTGATGTTCACGCCCGCTCCGTTGTTGAAGCTGATGTTCGAGCTGGTGATGTTCACGTCCCCCGCTCCGCTGGTCACGTGCACCCCGGCCACGTGCCCGTTCCCGGAGACGGAGCTGCTGTGCACGTGCAGCCTCGAGCGGATGTTGTCGACGGCCACACCCCGCCCGCCGTTGTCCTCCACCGTCGACTGGGCCACCTTGAGGTCGTAGGCCACCGAGTCGCCGGAGGTCATCCGGAAGAAGCCGTTCAGCTCCTGCCTCGCATCCGCCCGGATCCGCACGAACATCTTCTCCCGCGTGGAGGTGACGCTCTGGGGTCGCGTGTTGTTCCGCGCCCGCCACTGGAAGAGCAGACGGTCGGTGGTGGAGGCCCCGTCGTAGACCTCCACGGTGGCCGTCTCGTTCTGCATGAGCACGAAGTGCTCGAAGTGGAGCGTCAGCAGGTAGCCCGGCCGGGTGAAGAAGTACTTGCCGCACTCCTTGCCGCTGCCCGCGTAGTACTTCTGGGTGAACGAGAGCGAGATGGGGTACGTCTGCCCGGCGGTGGTGGGCAGGGTGCAGAAGTCGTAGATGCTGGCCCGGTCCTTCCGCTCGCTGCCCCGCAGGTCGTGGCCAACGTACTTGACCCCGTCGCCGGCGTTGTCCACCACGGAGCAGCCCTCCAGCTCCACGGCTCCCTGGCTCGAGTTGACGAACACCCCGATGCCGTTGCACTTGCGCACCGTAACGTTCTGCAGCCGGAATCCCGCCCAGGGCCGCGTGCTGTTGAAGCCCGTGTACGCCGAGTGGCTGATCACCACGTGCTCCATCTGGGGCGGCAGGCCCTGCACCTCCACCGCCGACTTGGCGCTGAACCCCGTTCCGCTGCCCGCTCGCTCGATGTCCACGTACTTGAGCCGGGACTCCGACTGCGCCGCGTACACGATGTTGTCCCGCCCCAGCGCCTTCGTGGAGGGGGCGTTGTCGAAGTAGATCCCGCGCCAGTGGCCCAGCGGCTCCGAGTGCACCGGCAGGCACTGGACGCCCAGGTCGTTGTGGTAGTCGCACGCGCCCGCTCCCATCTGCCGGGAGCTCCAGGCGCACTCCTGCAGACCGCTCTCGCTGCCCCGGCACTTGGGCTGCTCGTAGAGGAGCCGCGGGTAGTAGCCCGCCGTCCGCTCCACCCAGTTCCAGAAGCGCCCGCCGCGGTAGCCCAGCTGCCTGCAGGCCACTCCGTAGTCCGCCAATGTCCAGCTGTCGGGGGAAGCATTCATATTCAGTTGGGGAAAGAGCTTATAGGTCTTACTTGAGCAATCACTTACTTTCTGGAGTTGGAGCAGACGGACCGCCAGGCGCCCTTGTGGAACAGCTGCAGTCGTCCCTCCACCGGAGTGGGTCCGTCCACCAGGCGGATGCCCTTCTCCTGGTCGTCGGGCAGCTCCAGCTTGTAGTTGGCCGTGTTGCTCTGCGACTTCAGCACGATTCTTTCCGTTGGTGTGCCCTGATCATCAAACAAATTAAAAGTTACAATTTGGTTATTACAAAGCAAATGAGAGCAGGTAGATGTAGTCTTTTTTAATCAGTAGAATTGGGTCAAATCTCACACACACATTATGTAAAAAGCCCCCAAACTCAGGGAACTGTAATTCTAATCAGTTGCTTTAAGAAGCGGCTCGCATTTTAGAATTAAAAGCTAAGACTGAAATGAAAAACTGTCTAAATTCATTTTTTAGGTGAGGAAATGTAAAACACCCATATACAAAATGTAATTGTAATAATAATACCTGACGAAAATTAAAAATAATCATACATTTTGATTAGAAACACTTCTCCTTTACTATTTTTCAGTCAAATCAAGTCAAGTCTGCATTTTCTTTTGAGCTCACACTTTTCACTTCGCCTCTGTTTTTCTCACGTATGGCAGCAAACAATTATTTTCGTTTTCAATTATGATATCTTCGCGCCACTTGGCCTTCGCTTGCCAATGAAAACCGACATGGAGAATACGTAGTATATAATTTTCGACCCAATTGGGGCGTCAATTATACGAACCACCTATGCTGCGAAGATCATCGCCGAAGTGGAGAGCGATCTTGGGCGAGAAGTCGCCCACTCGCGCGAAACAGTTTTATTTAATTTACGGCAAGGCGGTGTGAACTCTTAACCCTTGAGAGCCCGTGACTCAGAGCTGTTTTGCATACCCCCAAAAACAAGTGCGAAGCACTCATTCCGACACACCGATACCGGCGGCTTAGAACGGGCTTAAGAGTTTGACAAAGCTAATTTAATCGTTTCCCTTTCGGTCCGTGGAATTGTCAATTATGCGACTCCGACATTCACTTAAATCTAATTAACCCCCGGTGACCCCGTGACCGCTGATTAAGTGACTGGAGAAGTCACTCCGAGAGCGGAGCGGAACATGCAAAGTGCAGCGCAATTGAGAGGAAGTCAGCTGAACTTGGCTGACCCACTTGCGGGGTTAAAGATTGCGGGCCCTAACCTACCGCTATGCACCCCGTATAGTGTGCCCTCGATAAGTCCGATCTCCGCCGCCATCCCCCTTCCAACGATGTGTAAATCAGACAATCGCTATCTTATCGCTGCAAAGTCAACAGTGAGAGAACTCAGTACGAAACTTTTGTGCGGGCTTATCTTTCGGTGAGCTTACTCATGGTGGACCCTCGACTTCTGATAGCAACAGGTGCCGCTTAATCATTCGCGAAACGCCTACAGGTGTAGCCATTCCTCTGTGATTAAACCCCCAAAACACCCTTTAAATTAGACATAAATATATTCAGGAAATACCATTCAATGTGTAACTATTTCCATTACATTGCTCCATTATTTTACTAATGTCCTACCAACTTTAATGTATTGCCAATATAATCAAAAAAAGCTTTTTGTTTTCATTAGTATAATTCATTCCATAAGCAAACACATTAACTATTATTTCCCCAGCTTACTTAAAATCATTCACCCCAGTTTCTATTCCTCCATCTATTGTATATAAGGTTTCGTCCCAGTCAATCATTCTCGAGTTACTGCCACTAATGAATCTTGCCCCACTCGGGTTTTCCGACTTACCACCGCCTGCAGGACCCCGCTGATTTTGAGTCCTTTGGTGGGGGCGAATTCGATGGTCACGCCCGGCTCGATGGTCAGTCGGGCGCCCCTGAGGACCTCGAGGTCCTCGCGTGCCAAGTAAGGACTCTCGCTGCGCCGAAGGATTCGGTCGCTCAGGATTTCCCCGCCTTGCAGTTCGGTGTACGAGTGCGATGACGTCATCGGGGAGGTGGATGTTTGTGGCGCCACAGTGACGTCTGCGCCGGAATGTCGGGTCGCTGGCAGAAGTTGGGTGGCGCCATCGAGACTGGCGAACTCGATATCATTATCCTGCAGCAGTTCCACCTCTCTGGAGTTCTCTGCTGGCGGACTTTCCTGGCCGCTTGCCAAGTGGGTCGAAAGAGCCAGCGTTACGACGAGCCATAAACATATGTTGGCCCATTTTGAGTTAGTGGGTGTTTCACTTTTTCGTTGGCAGTTGGTTTTACGTCGCTGCAGCTTCATTTGTGCATCGTTTTCGTATCACTTTTCGTTGTCGTTAAATTTGGTTTACTTTGCTTGCGATTGATTACTTCACTAACGTTTTTTATTACACATTCGCCATGGCAGTTTTGTGATTATTAAACAGCTGGATAGGGGAAATAATTGAACATAAAATAAATAGAAATTCAGATTCACTTTAGTTACAAACTAAACAATTTTGCAATTCTTGGATTTCTTTTTTGTTTCGTTTTTTTTTGGAAACACTTTTCACTTTTTGGGGTTTAGCCAACCATGAAGTCGGTGGTTTAACTTTACTTAGTTTTGGTTTTTTAAAAATTTTTCACTTTGTGCTAATGGCTCCCGACAATTGTTGATATTAAAGCACACTATTCTGTAATTGTTCACCTATTGTTGTGTATTTTCAGCACCTGAAAGTCGAGTATCTCGAGATTTCCCAACGAAAACATGTGAAATTCGGTGGGTTTCCATCAAAAAAGGCCCATGGCATTGTTAACAAATTTTTCTGATAAGCCGCCAAGAGATCGGGCCCAAAAAGAGAACCGAAAAACCACAACAGAACTCCTACCAAAACACACTCACACAAACAAACTTTTCTCCACTTTGACTGTTTTATGTTTTTCCCATACAGAACACGTCCATACGCAAAGAACCGTTAGCAACGACTGAGAAACCGAGAGGGTTTAGTATGTGGAATTACGTGCATTACCCACCGGAGAGCGAGATGGCGCGATGGGGAGAGCGGCCGAGAGAAAGAGATGGGGCCGCCGACAACAATAACAAAAGAAGTGAGGCAAACAAACAACAACATGTTAAATATTGGGGAGTTGTTCAAATTCCCCCACTTTAGTAAAATAACTGTAAATGTGTAGGCATTTCATTCATGCCACAAGAGAGCAAGCTGAAGAAAGAGAGAGACAGTGAGAGCGAGCTCGTGTTTTTCTTTTTTAAATTTTCTTTATTTTTTTCTCGGTTACGTGTGCGTAGTAAGAAGAAAGAAGAAAGCATTTCCACCTTCGACTTACGGGCTTTACCAAACTTTCCCCACCCTCATTTTACACTGCGCAAAACTCTATTAAGTGGAGATCACCAAAAACCAAATAACAGGTAAAATTAAATTTAAAAAAAATTACAAATGAAACTAAATCTTTTATCACTGTTTCTTTTTAAAGACTTTAAAACCATAATACTAGTTTTATTACATTTTCCAAAATTCTTTTTCTGTGTACTTCCTATATTCTTGACAACCAGCATTTTAAATTTATCGAATATGCAAAGCAGCTTTATGGGGCTGGGTTCCAGGGAGGGGGCAGGGGCAACGGTGCGTGTGTGGATTGTATCTTGTATCTCGTATCTGGCGTTCGATGGATGTGACTCAACTTGCACGCGGAATGTTGTTGTTTTTGTGGTTTCCGTGACTGCATTCGAAGTGCATTCAAAGGTTTATTGTCTGTCTTTTTATGGGGTTATTAACTTTGGTTTGGTTCGGTTTGGTTTGCGCCTTGCTATTTTGCGTAGTCAAAAGTTAAGTGAATGCACCTTAACTAGTCCTCTGTCAAGTTATTTGGGAAATTCTTTATATAAGTATGCTGCCCATTTGTCATTTGTTTCTATAATACAAATATTAATTGATAAGATAGGAACCACCGCAAATAGAATTGCACAAAACTTCCTAGAAACACATTGGTAGGTTGTTTAGAGTTCGTTCTCATCAAAGATCAAAGAGTTTACAAAATCTATTTTTATTTCATTTTTTTTCCCATTATTATTACCATTAATTCTGCATCATCTTTTGGCTTTGAATTAACACACCATCTAAATCGGTTCATTTCCAAAGCAGAGGTCTACTATAATTAGGCTTTCTCCCGGTTCTGTGATGTGAAAGGGTTTTCCCGCTGTGCAGCTGTTTTTGGTCAATTTTACAGCAATTTAATTTAGTTTCCGTTCTACCAAAGAGTTCAACAACCGGATGAACTAAAATTGTTAGAATAATGCCAATTGTGTGGGCAATTTAATGGTTGTTTGATGTCTTGTTATTGTTTAATTTGGATGTAAGTATCTAGAATTTGTTAGTCATTTGCCGGCTTCAACGATCGTCGCATGACTAATGCATCTCACCAAATAAAGAATACTATTCTCTCTGTTTCTGAATAAATGTACATATATGTATCCCTCTATGAGACGGTCATTGATGATGCTCACCACGCTTAAATGCTTATAAGCTTCTTGACCAGCCTGCTTTACATTCCCATTATTTTATAATTTAATGAGTACTGAGTACCTTTTAGTCCACATACTTGTTTCTTTGATTGTTACTTTTATCTAAGCGGTTTTTTAATGCCCCGGGGAGTCGTTTGCTTTGTTTTGCCTTTCCTTATCGTCGCCAAATGATTGATAATACCCCACTTCCTTTAACGCAAGCGAAAACGTTCTTTTAATTCACTTTTTCCACATTTCACTAGCGACTTTCCTGTAACCAGAATGGCAACGCGTCATCGGCTTCCACATTCAATTGCCAGCAGAATGACTAATGCGGAACGGAAGCGACAGAGGAACTGCGAGAGGAACTCGTGGATAGGGAGCAACCTGTCTATAAGGAGGGGATCGGGGGTGATATCAAGCAAGTGCAACCAACGTTGCGGCTCGCTGAACGCATCAGCTTAAAAGTTGCAGTTGCAGTTTATTGGCCACAAACCAACGCAAAAAAAAGGCAAAAATTGCTACAGATGGGGCAATTAGTTGCTGCCAAGAAAGCGTGCAAAACTAGAAAGAAGAAGCGGAGCAACATCTAACAGAATTTTCGGATCCAATCTTTATACTCCGGTGGTTTTCTTCGCACTCATTTATAAGAACTATACACTCTAATCTCACTACAATACAGATTTTAGAGGCAAATACACAATAACTATATTTCTCCAACGGTAGATCTCTTAGATAAACATAAAATACGATTTAGACCAGAATCTTATCGCTTTTAGGCCGAAACTTAATGCGCGTCTTGTATGTTTTCTTTGTGAACTCCACTCGGCGGTTGCAGGTATTGGTGTGTTTGGTAATACTTTTTTGGCTGTGACACCAACACAACCTCACTTTTCGGCCCAAAGCTTTGGCTTTTCACCTCGGTTTTCGTTTAAAATATTGAAATTATTGAGCACTTCACTTATGATTTTGTTTGTTTTAGTTAAAACACATTTTAAAGAGATTTGAAATTGGATTTTCAGCTTTTCAGAAGCGACGCTTTTCGCATTTAAGGCGCGGTCAGCCAGCGATCACTCACACACTGAAGAACCGACTGTACGTATACGTGACAGCCAAGAGCAGACACAACAAAGCACCGTTGAGATCAATAAGTTACTGCTGCCAAGCGTTCTTCTGGCCCGGATCAAGCGCACACGTCCAACAGCGAACACCTTCTGAACCGAACTGAGCGCCACTCAAAGCTGAAAAACTGAACGCCGAGCGCCGCTGAGCGCGATGAGTTCACCGGAGAGGGGCCGTCGTTCGAAGCGGCCAAGTAAACCCATGAGTAAACCCATCTGGTGCGGGCCAAAAGCCCAGAGAAGCTTTGTCTCCGAACCGTCAATTCGGTTCGCACTCCACTCCACTCCACTCTCAGTTGCCTTGGCCGAAATGCCGAAAGTGGCAACTGCAGCGGTCGGAGCTTCGGGTTCCAGCCACAAAACAGAGCAACAGGGCTGCCTCTTGACCTGTTGCTGTTGGCAACCGGTTAACAGTCGGCGGTCTTGTGGGTGGATTGCGGTTCTGTTAACCATGGGCCAAGTGTCAATTGAGTTTGGTGCTGGGGTGATGATAATAGGTCTTAGCCTTGCAGGTTTATTGAACTGACATACGTGATTTTTAAATAAAATTATATATAGATAGATTTATTAAGGGACAAGCCCTGAATAAGATTTCTGTAATGGCTCGGTCAACATTCCTTGTTATCCTTCATTTGGCTAACATCGCTCACCTTTCTGACCAATCCGTACAGTAGCGCCAAATGTTGTTGTGCCTAAAATTGTAACTATTGAGACGATCTAAGGTAGCGCCACCTATACGGCCACAGTAAGCATGTAGAGAAAATGGATCAATATCTCAACCACAATTTATAGCACTATAAAATCGGGCAAATTAATGGGCTCGAATAATCTGAATTGGGAAACCTCCAGCAAATCAGTGAAATTATAGAACAGTGGTATATGAATAGGGGTCAAAATATCGACCATCAGAAAATGGAAAACTCTGAATGCAGTCTCTTCAAGGATGCGATTACAAACATTTCGACGATATGCAACTTTGGAATCGGACTAAAATTGTGAATGTTATGGGCTGTAAAGTGCGCGGTACCAATATAATTTTATTTGAACATTCATTGAACATTGGTGCTCTTTATGATAACATTTTTGGCAAGCATGTTTTCTGGTTTCTTAGTGAAAAATGTATACAAGGTATATAACATTGTTATTAAATTGAAATTCTTCCTGCGTAGAGCCTAACGCAAGGTCATCATGTTGACAAACTCCTCGAAGTTGATGTGGTTATCCTGATCCGTGTCGTACTCGCGAATCATTTCCTCCAGCTCGTCGTCCTCCACTTTTTCGCCCAGTGCCATGAAGATGGTTTTCACGTCGTTAAGGGAAATAAACCCGTTGTTCTGCTTGTCGAAAACGCGGAAGGAGTCGCGCAGCTCCTCCTCCCTGCTGGTGTCGCGCATCTTGCGCAGGATCACGTTGCAGAACTCGGTCATCGCAATGGAGCCGTTCCCGTCGGAGTCCACCTCGTTGATCATGGACTGCACCTCGGACTCGTTGGGCTGGCGACCCAGAGCGCGGATCGCCACTGCCAGTTCCTTCGAGGTGAGGGCTCCCTCGTTCTCCCTGTCCAGCATTCGGAAGGTGTTATGCAGCAGATCCTGCTCCTCCCTTGATAGCTCCTCCATTTCGCAATTCTGGGATTTCTGAAGGGGTCAAAACTTGTTAACTTTCCGGCTTGCCTGAAAGGTGTCGACTCCTACTCGACGTTTCCACTCCAATGAATAACTTTGTTCGACTACTAAGTTCAAAATTATTTTCTTCCATGTTCTGAAAAAATCTCTTATTCAAATATTAAAAATAATAACTATTCAACTGCACCAAATATGGTGAATAATTATAAATACTTGTACGGTTTTAGGGCAAAAACCGAGCATTCTCACGCACCACATTTAGCAAACAAATCACGTGCTTTCCTGGACCTGAGATGATATCATCTGCCGGAGAAACTCTGCGAATTACTTTATAGTTGAACCAGAAATTGATGTCATCGGAGGGGAAAAACGGGCGCCCATCGGGTGGATGGGTGGATTCCAGGAAGCCAGGCAACTCCAACTGGCGGCGATGACAATTTGCGTGGCATTTTAATTGAACTTTCTACGTGTTTGAGAGGTGTACTTCGAATCGAGCCCCGTCCACCGATTTGGTCGATTTGAGTCAATGTTAAAGGCGTTGCCACAAACCGCAAGCCGTCGTGTCTAGGAGGTCGGGGAGGGGCCTCGAAACGTGCCTGAAGTATTATTACCGCCGTCTTTGATTGATGGCCTCATGTGAGTGAGTCAGTGGATTTTTATAGCTCCACGCAGATCCCTTCCTTTCAGTCGGGCAGCAAGAAATCTGGACATCGATCTCTCTGATATTGGCCAACTTTATTTCAAATTAACTACCCAAACGGGGGAAACCTTGGCATTCTTTGAAGCGCTTCACAGATTTGCAGAAGAAGATGTTCTCGAATACATATTCATAAAATCATTACATTACCTTCAAATCAATTCCATTTAAAATCCGAATACAAGACACTAGGTTTTCAATATTAATGCAAACTTTATTTAAAATAAACTAACTTGCTATTGTCTGAATAAAATCATTTAAAATTCAAGGAAGACCGTGGAACGCTAGGGGCTGCTTACGAAAACTACTACAAAACTCTTAAAACAATGCCTAATTACATAAGGTTCAACTGGAATGTTGCTCATAGTTTACTTTGTTTATGCTCTGTTTGACATTAACTTTTACTTTCAACCATTTTTCCCCTACAGCGAAATCGACTTACGATTTTGTTTACTCATTAAGATTAGCTTACCGGATAAGGAAACATAAATTAAGCTTGGATTTCACTCAGACAGCAACACTTAGTGTTGGCCACGCACTCATCGAGGGCTTATCGATAGACTCTCGACTTATCGAAGGCTTACAGGAATAATCGGGCAGATTTAAGCTAGGTTCCTACAAATGCAACAACGGGGTTCCCTACGCTTACAACTATCGCTTAAGTAACTGCTCTATTACATAGTTTAGGTTTATTGCCTTGCCTAGACATTGTACTAAGATGTACTAAACTTACGTAGCTCTAAGTTAAGATTACCTTGGGTCCAACTGGGGCTTACCCTTTGACCCCATTGACCTCTGGGAACAGTTTGCTTTGATTGTCGGCCAAGTACACAAGATCAACCAAACTAGATCCGCAAATTTATTGCTCAAAGTGCGTAAAGTAATTCCTAAATAAGTGTGCTTTGTCTCCACTCCAAATTCACCTACTTTCTGTGGAAATCGGAAGAGGGTTCTTCCCTTTTTTGCTCTTAGTTACTTATATAGTTACTCCCCCGTTTTCAACGCCTCATGATGTCCTCGATGCTGAATCCCGTTCTTCTGGGCGGCGCAGGCGGTGGTGCAACAGGCGGTGGTGCTATCGGGGGAGCGCCAACAGGTGGTGGGGCCTTCTCCGCACTCGCCCCACTGGTCTCCGTGCTCGGCGGCTTCCCCAGGAGCTGCCTGGGCGGATGGCGCGACATGTTGAGGGCGTACATGCCGGGAGCCTCCACGAAGCTCCTGGGAGCCAGGCCGGGGTGGTGGTGCGGGTCCAGCAGGTCCAGGCTGGCGGGGGCCGGCAGGATGCGCTTCCTCATGGGGATGGAGCCCAGGAAGCTGGGCAGCGCCTCGTGCGGCGAGTGGAGCGGCTGGTTGGGCGGCTTGCCTCCCACCTCCGTTTGGGTGACGATGGTGGGTGGGGTGTGCGGCGGCGGTGGCGCCGCCTTCGAGAGGTTCAGGCTCTTGTGGTGCAGGTCGCGGCGCACGTGGAGGATGGGCAAGTAGGGGTCTCCGTTGGGCGGCAGCAGGTGCGGGTGCGCCTGGGGGAGGTGGCTAGGCGGTGGTGCAGCTCCGGGCGGAGGAGCCGCCGGATAGCGCACGAAGGAGGGGGGAACCGGGAGACTGGTCACCCCAGAGCTCCCCGCCGACTCCTCCGGGTGCTTCTCGCCATGTGGCCGCATGGTGTAGGTCTCGCCGCCTTCGTGGTGGCAGTGGGTCACGCCCTGGCGCTCCGGCTTGCCCACCAATCCGCCCGAGGAAGGTGGGAGGGGCGGGGCAGCTGCCTTGCCCGCCTGGAAGCGGGCCACCAGGGCCGCCTCCGCCTGCTCCTCGTCCTCGGGGTCGAAGTCCTCGTCCTCCTCCCTGGCCAAATCGTGGACGCGCGGCAGGTCCTGCAGCTCCTCCTCCTCGTCGAAGTCGTCGAACTCCTCCTCGCTCTCCTCCTGGTCGATGGCCGCCTTGCGCTTCAGCCGCATCCTCTCGGACTCCGACTTCTCCGAAGGGGCTCCCGCTTCGCTCAGGTTGTGGACCGGCGACTGGCGCGGGGAGTCCACCTCCAGCAGGGAGTCCTCCTCGTCGCCGCTCAGGTTCCTGGCCTCGTCCTCCTCGCCCACGTCCACGTAGTCCCCGGAGCTCACCTCGCCCACCGCGTGGGTGAGGGCGTGGCGGCGGAGGTCGCAGTTGCGGCGGAAGACCTTGCCGCAGGAGGAGCACTCGTAGGGCTTGTGGTCCGTGTGGGTGAGCAGATGGGTCTTCAGGTTGGAGCGCTGGTTGAACGAGCGGCTGCACACGGGGCACTTGTGCGGCGACTCCTCCATGTGCAGGATCTTGTGGACGGCCAGTGTCCTCGACTGGCAGAATCCCTTGCCGCACTCCGTGCACTTGAAGGGCTTCTCCTTGGAGTGGATGTACCTGGAAAGGGGGGAAACATGGTTAGAATGGTCAGTTACTGCGTGGGCGTTCCTTGGTAGCTGCCAAGTTGACAATTATCTCCGCTTAAATAAAGCCCTTGAATACCCTAACTTGAGTTATTGTTGGTTAAACATATGGTGGAAATACTTCAAAGGATAAAGAAAGGTTTACTTTCCTTAACATCATAAGGTTCCTTTACCATAAAAGTAACGAACTTTAGATTCTCAAACAAGTTGATGAATACTTCTCCCAATATGATAGTATTTTCAATAAAATAATATCTAGTTTAATGTGAATTACAATACTTATTATTACTCTTCACTCCTAATTTCCATACAAATAGTAAAACCCCTGACATCCTTCCATCTCGATAGGGTATTCAACATTCGCATGTGCAACCGCACTGCAATACTTTTGTACGCTTATGGCGGCCATCTTGGCAATGGCGGCCACTTGTTGTTGGATGCCAGCAGCCCCAACCAAGAGTCTAAGGCCCCATCGCCGACGGAACCCCAGATTTGGAGGCAGCAGCTGCTGGTGTCTCGGAGACGAGCTAAAAAAAACATACATAAGCCCGAAACAGGTTCTGTCTGCTCGGAGCCCCGAGATTCTTCTCCCATGCTCGCCGCGTTGCTGGTCAAAAAAAAAAAAGAAAAAAAAAACAGGGGGAAAAAACAACGAAAAATAAAGAAGAATTAGCCCCGCGGCAAAGCAAACAAACGACAAATGGACCGATACCGAACGATCAAAAGACAGAACGCTCGGACAGGCCGACACACCGGATCGCCTGCTGCCTGCCATCGGGATATATACCCCGATCCAGCCCCCGCCCCTCTGCCCCGCCTCCCGATATAAATGCTGGTGGATGGTGGAGGAGCCCCAAAGGAAAAGCAGCAGAGTTAATTAACTTTGTTGTTACTCCTCGAAGAGATGGAGTTTTACTGGCGTTCTCTGACGGTCTCTGATTTCTGTTCTGGCTCTTTTATGGGGGAAAACTCTTTTGGGAGGGGGTAGGAAAATTTCCCTCTAACCCTGAATGTTTCCTGGAATGCTGTGAGATCCCAGCCACTGCCTGATAAGTTTTGGAAACTAAACAAAAATGTTTAAGATCGTTTTAATGCGAACTCAAAAGTTATACTAAATCATGGATTTAAATGTATGCTAGTTCTCATTTTTAATACTAGAGATTTCTATAGATATGTATACATCTTAATTTCTTCAGATATATATCCTCTTCTTACCTGTGATCCCTCAAGTGATCCTGCCGCCGGAAGGCCTTGCCGCAGATATCACAGGAGTAGGGCCGCTCGTCCGTGTGCGTCCGCTCGTGGATGAGCAGGTTGTAGGACTTGGTGAACTGTCGGTTGCAGAACTTGCAGATGAACTGCTTCTTGGGGCGGGAGGCCCTTCCAGGAGCGCGCAGGAGCCGTCGGTCCAATCCGGCGTGCATGCCGGGACCGAGACCGGGCGGGAAGAGCGCTGCGGCGGCGGCGGCGCCCGGCGGGAAGGGGAAGCTGCCGGCGCCGGTGGGCGAGGGACCCGGTCCGGTGAGATATGGCGGCGGAGGGACGCCGGCCGGTCCGTAGAGGACGCCCGGTGGCGGCACTCCCGGACCGCCGGGTCCACCGGGACCTCTGCCCAGCATGGCGGCCGCCGCAGCCGCCTCCCGCAGCGCCAGCTCCTTCCGCTTGTCGGCCATCATGGCGATGATCTCGTAGTTGGAGTTGCTGCCGGGTCGCACCTTCCCGGTGGGCAGGACGGGCACGAAGGCGGAGATCTCGCGGTGGTGCGGCGGGGGGGCCGGTGGAGGCGGTCCGTGGAGGCCGGCCAGGTGCTGCTGGTAGGCCAGCTGGGTTTCGTAGGCCGAGATCCGGCTGGCGGAGGAGTTGCGCGAGGAGTCGCCGCCTCCCTGGGAGGAGCCGCCGTCGGAGGCGCCACTCCGGTCCGCCGCTCCGCCCACCGCCGCCGCTGCCGCCGCCATCGAGGTCATGAACTGGTCCATCCGCGAGGGGCGCAGCATGGGGATGGCCCCGCCCCCTGCCCCGCCTCCTCCGGCGGAGATGTCGCTGGATGCGCTTTCCGTGGGCATTTCAGCGGAGGCGCTCTTCACATTCCGTTGGACCTGCGAAAGATAGGAATGGATCGTCGTGAAAAGGCGGAATATAATATATATATATCTGGTGGTAAATAACAATTAGTAGACGATTGTGCTGGGTTAATTGGGCTCTCGTTTTCGGGGCTTATCTTAATTGCGGCCCGAGTGCAATAAACGGTTATTTCCACGTTGGGTTTTTATAGCCCGTAGGGTAAGTACGGGTATGAAGGGCTCACAATTATTATAATTTAGATTTAAGAATCTTTAGGTACCTCCACTATATTAATATCTGTTAAAATAATGTACATATATGCCTAGAAGTCTCCCAAATGCACTAAAGTAACTGTTGTCTTTAAACAAACACGCGAAAGAATGCAATATAACCTGTTGTAACTCACTTTTAATGCACCCTAAAATGTTTTAATCTGTTTTTCACACTTTTTATAACGAAATAAACACATTTAACTTGCGAATAGGGAGATATATCGCTTATAGCCAGAATCTCTTCACTTTAACGTGCTTTTCACATGATAGATTACCCGCTTGATTCGCAGAAAGTTTTAGCATCACAATTTATTTTCACAGGGTAACTAAGCGGCTTATCACTCGACTGCATTTGTTGTTGCTGTGTTTTTCCATAGGAACTCGTACTCCTGCTGCTGTTGTTGGCTTTTATTATCAGCGGCGGACTGCCGACGACGGCGAGTGAAACAAAACTGAAAACGAGTCGCAGTTTGGCACCGCGATCGGTGCTTCCAGTGCGCAGGTTAGATAAGATTGTGCGTCTAAAACCTGCCTCCGAACCCTGGCACTGAGTAACGAGGGAACCAGCACAGTAGTAACGATATAAACACACACACACACATACAGACACACACTCCCATCCAGATATATAGTGTATCTCTCTCGGATACAGATACAGATACAGCTCCGGCTGCAGATACAGATACAAAGGCACAGATACAGATACGGGGCAGGCAGCCAAGTTGCCGTCGGTTTTGGTAAATGACTCGAACCGAACTCGACCGACTGCTTACTGGATTTACGCAACAGGAGCCTCGACTTCTGAGTGCTCCGTGCCCAAAGGAGGGCGGGGGTCGAATCGGGGGCAGGGGAGGGGGAGCGGGCTCCGAAACGTGATCATCACGATAATAACAAAATAATGCTGATAATAATGATCACTGTGATGGCCGGCCATAAAGTTTGTGGCCCCGTCTCGCAAACGCTTCTTGCTGCCATCTTTGCACAGGGAGAAATAAAGGATTTTAGGGTAAGGAATTATTATAACAAATCCTTTCTCAGGATTAATAACATTTTTCTTAACCGTGAACCAATTTGTTATATCATTAGATCACCAAACTGTATCATCTTGCTTTCCAACCAAAAGAATACTGATATTAATACAATTTTTCTTAACAACATATCCTTAATTTTTTCCTGTGCACCCCTCGTTGGATTTGAGTCTCATTTAAATGTATAACCAGCTCCGCAGAGACGAAAAAGCACTGAAAATAACCCTGCTGTCGGTGCAATGACAGTTTTGCTTATCACTTGCTAGAATCGTTCCCGCTGTCTGGCTTGATTTTAATGCAAAATGCTGCAACGTCATCAAGATCAACATTAACATTCAGCCAACATCGGGCGAAGTGATCTTCGTAGTTGGGTGAAAAGAGCTTAGCCAAGAGTTTGTGGCAGTTGAAGAGGCGCCCATTGTCGGAGATACCGTTCTTCTTATTTTGGATGACTAGCTCAGGAATTGTGGCATTGTGAGGGTCTTATCGGTGGAAATAATTTTTAGCATTGTCTGGCTGGAGAGTGTGCTGTCAGATTAGCTCTATAAAGTAGCTGAAGTCATGACTTGATCATGAGTATATCATTGTTATACTTTTTCGGGGAATGACTCTGTGCAGTTCAAGTGGATGATATTATAATTCAGCTATCAGTTGGATGTGGGCTGGTCTTATCGCGTTCCATATCGAAGGTGTTTAGGAGAAATTAAGAGCAAAGATTAGCTAATTTGAAAAATATCTGTGGAAAGTTTAGGATTACCTTTATGATAGACATTCCCAACCCACGACTTCATTCCCTCCCCTAATATCAGAAGCACATGCCAAAGTAATCCTCGGTTTTATGAGATAGTAATTGGATAATACTCCAATACCCCTCGATGGTAAGGTAGCCACTGCGAGTGGGTTTCTAATCTAAGCCAGGCGGGTTCTCCTGCCCTCGCCGGTAATCTGTCGCACTCTATCTATATTGGATTCAATAAAGCACTTATCTGATCGCTTTATGACACACTCGGCTCCAATAAATCCCCAACATAGACGGCGATATGATCAGCGGGCCCTTTGCCTCAGATCAGCGATGACCCCGTAATATCTCATTCGATTACGATCCCGATAATCCCCTCCGATCGCGGCTCACGTACTTCTGGTAGCCTCGAAAATGTGTAACCCGTTTGGGTTTCCATATTTACCTCAGTCTCGGTACTTTTCTAGGGTTTGTTTCCTCACTTTTGCATTTACGACCGCTCGGACCCACGTTTAACCTCCTCCCCCTCCCCCTCCCCCTCCCCACTCCCTGTGCACATACAATGTACGATCCAGCGTTCATTATCTTTTTGAAACATCGGCACTTTTGAAAACGTCAAGCCAAATAAGAAAAACAAATAAAATCCATGTAAATAATGGACATCATCAGCAAAAGCGACGGCACGTAGACTGCCGTAGAAATATTGAGAGAGAGTTGTGCGCACACACACACAGATACGGACACAGATGACGAGATACTGAGATACTCGTACTCGAAGATCCACAGATACATTTGCGCCGAGACGTTTGCGCAAACGGTTGCCCAGCAAATGAAGCCAAAGGCTTAAAGTTCCCGTCTGTAGGAACATGGAAAAAAACTGCGTGAGTCTTTATATAATTTCTATAATTATCATAAAAATTAAATTTATAAATATTATCGAAAAGGGGTAAAAATATGACTTGTATTTCAACGAAACTTTATAAACTTTCTTCGGTAATTGTATACCTTTTTCACAAAGATTTAAAACCAACAATTCTTTTTATTTAATTTATAAAAATAATTTACCTTCGAAACAGATCAAGTAGAGGTAAGGATGAATAAGTGTATTATCGATTTTATTCGTGGAAAACATTTCTTTCTCTGTACAGTACATATAATAAAAAGAGCCAGAAGACCAACTACTGCTGGTGGAAAATAAAAGATATCGAGGAGCAATTTGGCTGCCACTTTTTCCCTCCTCCTCTTCTTCTTCTTCTTGCCCCGTCTTGCTTCTCATTTTTTTTCTGGGTCCGGGATCGGTTCGTTTGCTGGGTTTGCTGGGTTTTGTGTGTAAACATCTGAGGCCAGCAGAAACCCAGGGCCCAGCGGAGTGAAAAGGTTTCAGTTGATAAAAAAACAGAAAAGTATACAAACACACGGACACACTGGGCAAACGGATTTGGTGTTTGTATAGAAAACGCAGAGAGCTGAGGAGGCGAGTTTGTCCCTCCGCTGGTGATGGCCTACGATGGTTGGGAAGGTCCGTTCTTGCCCAGTACTTGGGTGCTAAAAGGGGTAGATCAGGTAACTAAGTGTTGAAATACCCCTAACATAGCATAGAAGAAAGCCCATGCGCATTTCTATTTTATTCAAAACCTGATTATCATCATCAATTTTGAGATCCTAGTTGGGATTTAAAACGTATGATCAAAAGATTATTCAATATGTATTCAATTAGTTGTTTCAATCGCTTTAGATCATTGAAAGTTGGTATCCTAATCAGGAATTCATTATAAATGTTATAGAAAAAGTGCCATCCTAGGGTATCTTAATGGTTTATCACAAACCCTCATCTTCTGACCATATCTTCTGGGCCGAGTGCTCACCGGGTCCCCATATGCACTTCAGTTTGCTTACAAAACACCAGCCAACAACAACAAACAAGCCAGAAGACGATGACGAAGGAAAGCGGAGTGGTGGGAGGAGTTCCTCGGAGGAGGAGAGTGCCGGACGGGTATTACGGGTGAGCCAGGGAAAAAAGGGTCGCCGCGATCCTCCACCGCAGCTCGGAGTGCGGAGTGCTCTTGGTCAGGCGGTTTTAATCCCTTCGGGATACTTTCCTTGCTCCGCGAGGAGGAGATGTGTCTGGGCGAAGGTAGCTAATAATCAAGACAGCGAAGAGGAGGAGGGAAACGCCGCGCCGCAGACTTATAATTACAGTCGAAGAGGAAAGCCAAGAAAGGAAGAGAGAGGAGCGAAGGAAAAAGACCTGCACTTCACATGCGTTAATCTGAAAACCCTTTCGGGGCCGCGCAGCATCTGAGATTATAGTCAAAGCTATTAAAAATCTAGCATAATCATTGCCCGTGGTGGAAAACAAGTTGGGTTGCTGTTTTTCGCTCCCGAGGTAGGCAGGCCATCTTCCTGCGCTGCCTTGTCTATAATTTTCTTGATTAATACCCATGAGGTTTACACATTTGGAGTGCCGGCCAGAACCCCCTTTCCCCCTCTGCACGGCTGGCCATTAATTTAAAAGCTTTGCTGATTTCGCGGGGAAAATCCGAAAGCGAACAACTGCTAATGAAGTTTTATGGGTTCGGGAATGCAGCTGCAGCAGGATTGATAATGTCGTTAGCATAATATAAATTGAAAATGCTTTGGAAGTTATGAGTACAGATTTGTTATTATTACTTAAGGATGCGAGGCCTCGGCTGCGATGAATATCTTCGAGGGATTATGTTCAGAAGATAAGTTGCACGCTATTCAGGCCTTTATAAAAATAATTTGAGTGTGGCTCACCTAAAGTTAAAATGGGAACTACCACTAGTTCCTACATTTGTTCTTCAAATTGAAATATTATCGGCTTAACTTTGACTCTTTCTAAAACTAATCCCTTTGGCAGTAATCTACTTTGTATGCTAAGCCGATCTCTTCATAAATTTCTTTGGCATATTGTGCTGCTCCTTTCATTCTCAAGAAATCCACTCAAGAATTTCACCCTTGAATAGAGCTCTTTAGACCTTTTGTTAGTGGGATTGCTACTTTTTCCAGGCAGTCTATTGTATGGCAGCTTCAATGGGTCTGTTCTTATTTATTGGAAGAGTTTATGCTAATAGGAGTAGGAGCCCAAATGCTATGATTTATTAATCCCATGCAACTGGATTCTAGAATCGTTTCCTTTAGTTTTACAAATCAACATAAACTGGGAAGTTCATCCCTTAATTGTATGCAAAACCGTTCCAATCAATTTTCTCACATCGTCCAACCCAACCCAAGACATAATGTAAACTTTTGATCACCTTTACGCTGTCTGATTTCGTTAATAGAATCAAATATTCATATTCCCGCAGACAACGTCTAATTTCCTCATCAAAATTGATGGAACTCCATGAACAACAATAAATGAACTGGTCTATCAGGTGAATTATAGACACGTGCCAAAACCAGGCGTGTCTCCATTCCCATTCCGATTCCGATTTTAAATCCGAACATGGCGAAATCCTAACGAGCCATTGTTCCGCCGCTTTATGGCCAACTAAAATTCATCAGCTATTTTGTCACGATTTTAATTAATTTTGATTTTCCTGCCAGAAGGCAATTAACCACATTTTCCCCCACTGCGGCTGCAACCGAAAAACAAAATAATGGCCGCAGACCGAAAAAGTGGAGGAAAACCCACCCAAAGAGGTAAAATGCAATAAACTTTTATGGTACTCCCATTCTTATGCTAAAAATCTTTTGGACACAAGACCAAATAGCCCATAAACCAAGACAATGAACCTCCAAAATAGATCTCCACTGGGGCGAAACAAAAGCCAATAACTTTATAGAACCGCAGCCAAACAAAAATATGAGAAAAAAAAACAGAAACGAGACTGTGAGAGCGCGGGAGGCGTTTTACAAAGAGCTAAAAAAATAAGGTAAATGAAATGGGGAAAAAAAGTAAAGCATTTAAAAGAAATCAATAGATGTAGATGACGACGATGATGATGCTGATGGTCTGAATCTGAGGCTCTGATGCTCTGAGGCTCTGCGGCCAAAACCGAATCCGAATCCGAATCGGTATCTGAACCCAACAGAAGCTTGCGGCAATTGCGTTTCCTCTTTGGCCACACGTTCTGGACAATTAAAGCCCAAGTCGGGCTCCGATTCGGAATCGAGCCAAGTTAAGACCGCGACCACGACCGAAAACCCAAAACCGAACACCGAAAAACCGGATTCAAAGCCGAGCAAGAGCGAAAGAGACGGCGAGAGCGACCAGTGGCCACTGGCACTGGCTACAAGTGAACTGGTTTACGAAGAAAAGAAACAGCGTTGGAAAAATGTAAGTCTGATATCGAAGTTTAAAATACCCTTCCAAAGAAAATTAACTCCACAGAAATTAATTATAATATGATTTCTAAGTTTGAATCTAATTTGATTGCAAATGTTTTATAAAGCAAATCCTGTTTAAATTCGTCTTGCTTTTATGTTTTCTTTAAAATTCTTTAAGGACTTCAAAATATTTATATATATTATATTTTTTGATATATTATATTATTTGATAATATTAATTTTTTGTTAACACTTTTCCAAGTCAATGTACCCCCATCGAGGGCATAGAAGAGACCCCCAGAATTCCAAGCGAAGGTTTTTCGAGTCCGGCTCGAGCAACCCAAGCCGAACTGAGCGCCACAGCAAAAGCAACAGCAGTTGGCCAAGAGGGGGGAGGGGGTGGGTGAAGGGGCAAGGGGGTAGGAGGGGGTGTGGCGGACTCCACCGCGGACTGTGCGGCACCACACTGAGTTCAGTGGCAATGACAGTGGCACATGCAGTTGTAGTGGAAGCCGCTTGTCGGTCGACAGTCCGCCAACCGCCAACGTTGTTGCCCTCTCTTTCTGCCCGCCTCGTCCCGTCTCTTTCTCGTTGTGGAGCAGGTTTTGAGATATATCTCCGCTCTCCTTTTCTCTTTCTCTGATTCTCTCTCTGTCTGCGTACTCGTTGTCTTTTGTACTCGCTGTCTTTTGGCCAACGCAAAAATACCAAAATAAAAAATCAGAAATAATTAGCTAGCCCTACGCCAAAGGGAAATACAAAAGTAGAAATAAGTGCTGTGGAATTTCTGCGTTCACCTTAGTGGGCAGGGCCTGTTCTTGGCGGTCTCTTACCTGTGGGTTAAACAGAAGAAAGCCTGTGGCTCTTGGGGCTTTATCGCTGGGGCCTCAAGTATCCAAGTAGTTTTTGAACAAGTTTCTGCTGGCTTTGTTGTCAGTTTTTCAATATTGAAATGCCTGGCATTGTTTTTGTTAAGGTAGAAATGTTGTATTTTTAAGTGGCACTTAAACCGTGTTTTGATTTCTTCAGTTGAATGGAAATTTTCAGTTATTTGTTTTTGTCGTTGATTAACTTCTGTGAATTGAAAAAAATGGAATTTGCTTGAGATTTCGTAGATATTTTCGGGGTTTTCTTTTGCTGTTTAGTTTAGTTTGTTTTTTCAATCTTTCTCCGTTTTGTTTTAACTTGTTAATATGTACTTTAGCTGCGTTACGCGACCGCACTCTCAACTAAATGTATTTAAAAACACGCACACAGTGGGACGATTTCGAGATTCAAATCACTGCACGATCGCCCTGGGGGGTGGGGCAGGGGAGGGGAGCAGGGGGGTTGGCGGGGGGGCGGTTACGGGAGCAGCAGCAGCAGCAGCATCAACGGCAGTCAGCTACCACAAACCACGTAGTTTTTTCCTACCCGAAATCCACGTACAACTCGCGCACAAGCACAGCTTGTATCTCACAGATACGAAAACCGAGGGAAAAACCCGAACCGAAACCTCGGCGAACTGAAAACCGAACCGAGCGAGAACGAGAGATACACGGCAGCTGAAATGTGTTTTTCTACATTTTGTTTGAAATAGGAGCTGAAGCCAGTGCAGCTACCAATTCGCTCCTCAAGTAGTCCCAAACTCTTCCCACACACAGAGCCAGAGCCAGTTGCAGCTGAAAAGCGCTTTTCTCGAGGCAACTGGCAGTGCAACAAGTTCACTCACACACACACACAAACACACACACACACCGCTCAATAAGCGAGAAAAGATACAGCGGCGGAGATACAGATAGATACTGGGCGAGAGCCACTCACAGTGCAGTTCGCTTTTCAAACGGCCAACGATCCGCGCGCAGGTGCGTTAGCCACGATCAACTCTCGAAGACTAAGCCGCCAACCGGGCAACTGGGCCCGAACGGAGAACGGAGAACGGAGAAAGAGAGCCTGTGGAGCGGCGGACTGAGATAAGGAGAAGCCGAGCAGCGAGTAGCGAGCGGAGCAGCAAAACCAGCTTAGTACACGGAGAAAAAAGGGGGGTAATATTGAAACATCTTGCATACCTAATAATAGACCACGAAATAGGGTTCTCATTGAACTTGAGAATTATACTTAAAAAAAAAAAATAACTTTTTCCTATTTTTGCTCTATGAACTCTTGGTAGATATTATATTTATATAGTTTTCAAGCTAAAAAGATAAGATATTTCATATTTGATCTTCTGGGTTCCCTAGTTTATCTCAATTTTTTACCTAAGGAATTTATAACAATGACAAGTTGCATTGGATTTCTTCGAGTGCAGGAGAGGAATTGAACCGAACTCAACCCAACCGACCGCCAGTCGCACGCTGGTGAGCGGACGGCCGGACCGGCGGACGGACTGGTATGGCGACTGGCACTGGCGGAGCGTGGAACGTGCATTCGTACGACGAGTTATTGTCAGTTAGAGCGCTACCTGTTTACCGTCCGACTACCGACTACCACCGACTGCTTTTCGGCCTGGTCGAGAGGGTAGGGTAAATTGCCCGGGTGTTGCCAGATTGCCCTCGCCGCCTATGGATTTTAATGGTGGTTTCCCCTGCAAAGGAGCAGGAGGAGGAGAAGGAGGAGGAGGAGGAGGTTTTGGCCACTGGAGGGTGTAACTCTGGTAGTCCCACGCTTATTGTTATTCCCTTCAGTGGGGGTGTACTTTGTCTCCGGTTATTGTTGCGGTTTCGATTACGGGAATGACTAATCGGAAAGCGTTTTTAGGGAGGAAAGACGATAAGGTTTCTTCGGAGAAAGGGTTGCAAAGCGGCGATTATGTGGAAAGTGGAGAAGAGCGGGGTGCAGAATGCATTACTCATGTCGTATTATCTTTTCTGCTAAACTATTGATTGTGCTACTGATAAGTAACTAACTAATACTTTTAATGAATGTATAATAGGAATACAATAAATACAATTTTATGGGTGTTATGCTTAAAAATAAAATCTGTATTTATTCAAAGTGCTTTTCAACGATGACTTATTGGAAAAAACATCACAGTTCGGCAGCCAAATTATAAATTTCTTCCATAAAAGTTGTTGTAAAACCATAATGGCTCAGAACATAAATGTTATCGCCAGACTGAAGTTTATTAGCAGCAATTAAAAGCTGCACAAATGAGCTGGCAAATAAGTTAAAACCCAAAAGGCGGTCTTATCAATATTGGAGGTTTTTTCCAGGGGGCATCTTACCCCAGTTCCCAATAGTATATTTCAGGAGCTCCTGCCTCAACCATCTGGCAACCTCTGAAACCAGCATCAATACGGTCAAGTGGTAAGAGGAAAGCAGAAAACACAGGCCAAGAAAACAGTCAGGGTCCAAAGGAGAGGGAGTTGCGTTTCGGCCGTGATGATGATCATGGTCGTAATGATCCCGAGATGCCGAAAAGAAAACCCGAAAAGTACCAACAATAGAGAGCCGGGGCATGTAATTAAGGTGCTGCACAGTGGAACTAAATTGTGGCTGCTGCCACTGCAAAAACAGTAAATGGAGATACAAAGCGGCAGCCAGAAGACCAGAAGACCAGAAGACCAGAAATAAGTGGTAGAAAGAGACGAGGAAAACGGTAGCTGGCTCATAGGGCGAGCGAATTGTTATGCTAGTCGTTGACTTCCCCCATCAACAACTGTTGCTCTTGGTGCACTCAGAAAATATAATCATATTGAAATCAATTGGAAAAAAATATTTAAATAATTCTAAAATAAATAACATAAACATCTAGAACAATTGTGTAAATATTTTGAGATCCATTGAATATGTTAACGTTGCTTGCTTTGAAAAATAGAAAGTTAGTTTGCAAGGCTTTTTGGGTGTTTCAGTGATTTTTCTGAGTGCGCGGCGTTTGGCGTCGTTTCTCCGCTTGCATATTTTGCATCGCTTTACGATTTTAAAATAAATTACTTGAAATTTGTGTAAAACATGTGGCCAACTCGGGGCTCAGCTGGTAGTTCGGAGCTAGAGGGCCAGCAGCAACAGGTTCATTGATCGCGTTCGAAATGCTTCGTTGGCCTCAGCAGGTAGCTGGGGACTTTGTTTCTGGGCCGGGCCTGAATCGAATCCGAATCCGATTCGGAATCGGATCGTTGGACCAAATTAATGGTGTTTAGATGCATTTCAATGCCCCCGAGCTGTCAGCAAGAAGACATACAGACACATTCGTCATTTGTTCTCGGTATATTCTTTATTTAATAATTAAAGCTCTTATTTAGTTTTCTTTTTCTTTTGTTTGGTTTTGTTTTTTGGTTTGTTTTTGCTGTCTCGTTTCCACTCGATGACTTACAACATAAAATGGCTGTCTCTTGTGTATATCATATAATCGTCATAATGCATACATTTATTATCTACTTTCTGCGCCGCGCCGAATTCGAAATCTCTATTTAAAATATATAAAATATATGTATATATATCGCTACCGTTTTAATAAACACAAAAGAAGCTTCAAAATTGCATCCTCACTCAATCTCGGTATTTAAACACTGACCCAAAAAAACAGGAAATCAGCATTTTAAAGATCATATCTTTATATGACAAAGTAACTACTGGATTCCGAATTAATCTCTATTACATTATTGTTTGATCTACTATGAACCTTGATGTGTGTGTGTGCGTGTGCGTGTGCTTGTGAGTATGTTCCCTAAAAATCAACCTATCAAAAAAGCTAACTAACTAACTAATAATCGATTCCAATAAGGACGAAAACCGTTGTTAATTATCCACATAATGTTGTAAATGTGTTTAATTTGTTGTATGGAAGCAGCTATGGAAAATGGAAAACTTATCGCGGCCTTTGATAATGACTTTTCGAACTATTACACTCTGATAATTCCGAATTTTGGTCTCGCTTGAGTTGATTTTGTTCTGGGTTACCCTTTCTGTAAATAGACATTTATCTAAAAAACGTTGCCTTGCCGTTGAGCCTTTGAATACCTAATCATATCAATTTGGATTTGGATTTAGCCTAGCCGGATTCTATATACATTAGACAATCAATTTGGTCTGCTGTACGGTGATCTCCTTCTCGCTCTCTTTTCGTGGCTAAATATATTCTATGTATATAAGTGACAAGACAACCTCACTAAACATAAGTTTGTATATATATATATATATGCGATTTGTTGTAAGCTATATAACAAGAATACACACCAAAAATGTTCAATCGTATTCCTCTACATGTGTATATATTTGTTTGTTTGTGTATGTACGCTTTGTTCAAAATAGTTTTAAACCCGATTTGAATGACCGACTAAATTCCTTGGACTAAGCATCGCCTATGCCTAAAACTAATTGGTTTGCTGGTTGCCTGGCTTAAGTTCTAAGTGGTTTTGTTTTTGTTTTTGGTAGTACCCGTACTAGTGTGTCGAACGAACCGCGCCTCGCCGCCTAATCCATCAAGTAGCTAAAGCTGCGGCGCTTGAGTCGGCTGCTCAGAGCCGATCTGGCTCTGGAGCGAGTCTTTAACCTTAGTTACCCGGACTTTATCCAGCGGTCAATGGAGTATTCCAGTGCGGATATCCAGCTGAAGTGGGAGAAAGTGAATGGGAAGTATTTTATGAGTTCATTAGGCTTTTATACTTCTACTTGATTATCTATTAGTTATTTGATTTGATTTATTATATTATTTATTATATTTTAGTGGGGTGACTTACCGCTTCTTATCCATTTCGCTTTCGGTGCAGAAAAAGTAGTGACGCAACTTGGTCTCTGGTGGTATTATCTCGAAAGAGTTCTTCTTGCCGGACGCATTGGCGGACATCGAGGCCACCTTGTAGCCGTGCAGACAGGCCATTCCTAGGTGAGAAATCGAAATTCAATTAGTTAGCGGCTGGGCAGGCAGTCAGTCACCTTTGCAGCCGGCAGTTGACTCACCGAACGCACTCTTGCTATTTGCATCTTGGTAAAAATAGAGGCAGGCGTCCTTTAGCACGCAGTAGCGCTTCGACCAGCCGCACCACCTTGAGCCCAATTTGAGGAGGTAGCCGAAGCAGTCGGGCCTCTGGATGCTCCCCGGGCTCTGGTACAGGCCCCGCGCGCTGTGAGGGAAGAGATGTGAGAGAATGGATCAGTGAGCGAATGAGCGATTCTCCGAGATCAGTGTCCCCCAACCTCTTGTCCAGCCACTGGTTGTCCTGCGAGGCGGCCTGCCGCAGCAGCTGGAGCCACCGGTTGGCCAGCTCGTCGGAGTCGGCGGCCACGAACATGGGGATTCCCTCGCCGGCGTCCACCTTGAAGGCGAAGGGCTTGCCCACGTCCACGGGGCACAGGTCCACCGTGTGCTTGGCCATAATCATGGCGCCCACGGGCTGCGAGTCCTGAAAATATTTATCTTAAAATGTGAACTTCATTTCCTTTCAAAGGTTCACGTACATCTTCCGTTTTGTAGTAGTAGAGACAGTTGTCGGGCCGCAGGGAGAACCAGCGGCGCACCCACTTCTTGGAGTTGGGAGCTCCCTTGGCCTGGCCACTCTGCCGCCACAGGTAGCCACTGAAGATGGGCTGGCTCGGCGGCTCCAGCTGCTCGTGCATCAGCACTCCGATCGTCCTGGCCACCTGCAGCTCCAGCTTCTCGCAGCCGTCGTGTGCGATCTTGACCACTTCCGTGTGGTGCTTGTCCAGCACCTGGACGCCGTTCACCGAGATGATGATGTCGCCCACCTCCAGGCCGGAGCTCTCCGCCGGAGTCTCCGGCTCGATGGCGGCCACCACCACGGGCTTGGAGCCGTGGATGCGGAAGCCGAACTCGCCCGAGTCGCTCTTCACCACCACTGTTTTGTCCACGCCTAAAAATTAAAGTAAATAAATATTTGGTAACAGAAATATTAGTTTGAAGCATTAGCAGCTGAATAGAAATGCTTTCAGCTGATAGAAACAACTTTCAGATACATTTTGCCCAGTGTATGCTCATGGGATTATTTATAGAGAGCGACTGAGACTTAAGTGATTTGTGTTATTTTATTTCCGGATGTCGTCCGGTTCGGTTTACCATGTGCCCCGTTGCTGAGTTTGGATATCACGAAACTCTCGCGGGCCCAGACCAGGAGCATCAGCTTCAGGACCTCCTCCAACTTGCGTCGAACTGATTCCGGCGTGGAATTGGAGGCTATTAGTTCTGCGTGAGTTATGCAAAAGAAATGAAATCCCCTTCGGCGCCGTTTGATTTACGATGTTTACCCACCAATCATTTGGCCGAGAACCGTGTAAATACCACAGAATATTCCTCAAGTCTCTAGCTTTTCGCACTTATTTCTTTACATTTGGTTTCAACCGAAGTTCCGAACGGGAAGCGTTGCCGATTTTTTATGGTCGGCACACAACAAAGCACGCACCTCAACTATTCTCGATAAAGAGCCAAAAACTATGGTTGTTTTTTCGGTCGGTCTGTCTGGCATACTACGCCTATATCTATGTGTGCCAAGTGCCGGTCATGAAAAGTCGGAGCGCCGTGCCATTCATTATCTCTAAGTTCTCTCGGGCTTCTCTACTGCTACTCTGAGTTCTCAGCGAAAAGGCGCGCACGTTGTGCCATAATTAGAATATTGTTTGGGTGTTCGAACAGGGTGCTCCAAGTGGGGGACCGGGACACTTACGGAAGCTGTTGTGCTTCTGCCGGTGGTACATCTCCAGGGTGCAGCGTCGCTGGACGAGCCGGTGCAGGATCACCTGGTACTTCGCGTGGAAGCCCTTCTCCGACTCCGTGGAGGCGCGGCGCTCCCTCGAGCGATCTTAAAAGGAAGCATAAGATAACTCTTAGTATTTATTTATTTACGAATTATTTATTTAAAGTATTCCGCGCAAGACTATCACACACGTGTCCTCGCAAACTTCTAGGGTCGCAAACTTTCTGACCAACTTTTTGCAGGGTTCTTTCAGTAGAAGACAATCGTTTATTTTCTCTTCATAATAATAAAACTCAGTGGGAATTCGGTTGGGCGTGCATGGGTAAATTTTAGTCTGGTTACCGCATATAGCTGAAATTGAGGCTATTTATTAGGATACTAATGAGAATAATAAGTGCTAATAAGCACATGAACTTACGATTCTTAAGGCCTAATACAATATCAAGCAACCCTAACAAAATAATAAATACTTCTATCTTCATTGCTAAATGGCTGCCTAGTAAAGTTTATTTCTAGTTCTGCTTTAGCTTGCATTTAGTGTGTCGAATATAGTTTGCTGTGGAACAGATTGACTTCACCTTTCCGTCTCTTCTTTTTTTTTAAATAAGTTTTCCTTTTGAGATGGACTTAACTCACCGAAACACTGGTGGTCCAGCTGGGTCCACAAGTCGTTGTCCGTGAGACGAGTGTATCGGCCTGCGTCGTAGTGGCCCTTGTAGATGATGTGCTGGCTCTGTTCCGTGTTGATGTCGGGCAGGACACAAGGACTAGATCCGGCAGGACGCAGCACAGGTGTATTTGGCAGACTGGGAACTCTACCACGCTCCTCGCTCTGTGAAGTAAAGAAACCCATTTTATTATAATCGCAATTGCATTAGATATCTCCTTGAACTGAAGTAGGTTCCCTGTAAGAGGTTTATATCATTAGCACCCACCTTCGCCCTGATGTTCTCCTGCCTCGTCTTGTAGTGCCTGCCCCGCTCGCCGTGGTAGCGCTCCTCGGAGCGGAACCGCTTGTCCATCTTCTTGTAGAGCCGCTGCGTGGTCTTGGTGGTCACCGGGGAGTCGGCGAAGTCCGACGGCGGCTTCACGATGTCCTGCTCGATGAAGGGAATCGACTCCACGGAGTCGCCGGCCAGCTCGCTGATGGTGTTGCTCTGCTGCTTGCCCTCCATCTCCTTGCCGCAGTGGTGGCAGTGGCTCTGCTCCCCGCTGGCCGCGTTCCCGTCCGCCTCGCTGTAGAACACCGAGTCCGATCCCGGCGACACCGAGCGCAGCGACTCGATGGACTTGGCCTTCAGCTGGAAGGTGTCCGACGTCGACTTCGACTGGGTGCTGCTCACCGTGGGCAACTTGGGCGAGAGCAGCGCCGTGGGCGTGGCACAGCTGTGGGGCTTCTTCGCGGTCAGCGGGACAACGGCGGCCTCCAGTTGGCTGGTGGCCACCGAATCCGAGGCGGTCACCTTCGCGGGTGCCGCCGGTGCGGCTGTAACGGAGGTTGTGGTGGTGCAGGTGCCTGCGGGGGCGCCACTCAACATGCTGCCGTCCAGCAGCAGCTCCGTGTCACCGCTGCCGCTGCTCAGGCCGAAGATGGTGGGCGTGGCTCGACTCCTGCGCACCGCCGCCGCCGCCAGGACGTCCTCCCGCGAACTCTTCCGCAGCTGGCGCCGGATCTTGGGGCGGAAGCGCTTCATCTTGCTGGGACTGCTGCCGTTGTCCAGGATTCCGCCTCCTCCTCCTTGCTGCTGCTGCTCCGGGGAGGTGACCTTGCTGGAGCCCGGGGGCTTCTTGATGGGGCTGGTGAGGGCCCGCATGTTCTCCTTCTCGATGTCCAGCTTCATGCTCGTCTTGCGCCGCTTCCGCTCGTCCTCGTGCCGCAGGCGGCGCGCCTTGCTCCGCTCCCGGCCCTGCTCCTCGTCGTCCTCCTCGTGGGGACTCTCGTAGTAGCCGGAGGAGGAGTAGCGCACCTCGCTGCGCTCGTCCTCCGAGACGGAGTCGGGCTTGGGCTTCCCCTTTGTCTTCGGAGGAGCACTCTCGGCGGGGCAGACCTTCATCTGGGAGGAGCTCCCAGAACTGGCCACCGTCTGCGGCTGGCTCTCCTTGGCGGGCGAGGGGATGGCGGCGCCGGAGACGGGACAGCTGCCCGAGGAGGTGGTGCTGCTGATGGAGTGCGAGGGCGACTTGCGGGTCAGCTCGGCCACCGATCCCATCGGGGACTTCAGCTGCGACTTCGCCAGCGAGGACTGCTTCTCCTTCTCCTTGTCGTCGTACTGCAGCAGCTCCTCCCGCATGGAGTACAGCGAGCTGGCGCTCTCGAAGGAGCTGCCTCCATGGGTCTTCTCCAGCTGCGAGCTCTGGGTGGAAACTGTTGGATAGAAAAGTGGGTTAACCCTTAATTAGCTCGTGTTTCAATAGGAACTCCTTAAGTACAGCTAAAGCATTGCGGGCAAGGCATTTGATCAGGCATCAACAACATAAACTAGGCAGGAGAGATACAGAGATACAGAGAGAGAGACAGACAAAGTTGAGGTGTTTGGTTTGGATGATTCTACGGTCTATAAGCTGGATGACACTATGGGAGTAAGCGTGGAGGCGGTGAGAGCATTCGGAGGTTGTGGGGCAACAATGGTGGTGGAGTGGTGGCCACAACGACCCAGTTCGATGGCGGTTTCTGTTACGATTTCGATTTCTGTTCTGCAAGTCGCATTTATGGGTTATGCGAGTGGTGCGAGTTCTACACACAGACGGGAACACAGGAACACACAGCACGAGTACGAGAACGATTACGGATACGATTACGGGTGGGGTTACGCAATCGGGGCCCAAACCTGGCACTTGGGTGGTCGACGAGGAACTGGTCGTGGTCGGCGGAGTCTTAATACCTGGGGTCCGCTTCGAGGTGTCCGTGCAGGTGGCATACTCATCTGTGTTCGTGCTGCACTCCGAGATGTCCGCGCTCCTCGCGAAGTCCGTGGCGCCCATCGGCAGGAACGAGGCGTCCGAGTGTCTGGGGAAGAGTATTCATTTATAAGGAAGAGTATTCATTTATAAGATAGAAATATCTACTCTATTCTATTCTGCTATATTTTTTATAATACAACAAGAAAGGAATAGCCTGTTCCCATAGCATACTTTTAGGCAAAACAATTATACATCTCCCCAACTTAGTGGGTAAAAAGTAACCTTTGCTTGGTGGCTCCGGCTCCTCCCATGAACATCAGTGTCCGGGCATCCGGCACCGATCCCCTGGCCACCATGCTCCTCTTGGGCAGTGGAGAACTGAAGGAGGGATCCAATATCTGGTTGGCAGAGGGGGTCACAGCGATGGCCGGCGGAGGCATCAGAGGTTGCGGCTGAGAGGAAGATGGCCTCGATGTGGTTGGCGTGGGGGTCTTCACGATCTTCGGCAGTGTTTGTAGGCCATAGGTGGGGCTCTATAGAAGCGGGTTATTAATCAGGGAACTCCATCCAGTATCGCGGATTACCCACCTGCTCCTCGAAGTCCAAAGCGTCGGTGTCCACGGAGCTGCGCTGCTGGTGCTGCAGCAGCAGGTTCTTGCGCTTCGAGGAGGGGGTGAGCAGCAGGTTGGAGCTGTAGGAGCCGTCGGAGATGTCCCGCTGCTCGGCAGTGAGCACGGTCACCTGCGACTCGTTCCAGATGCCGTCGGAGTGGTCGCGGGTGTTGTCGTTGGCCAGCGAGTCTGAGGAGGGATAAGTTGAGGCGTTGGCCAGCAGCTCGTCGCGGCAGGGACTCGCCGGAGTGGAGGGCAGGCGGAGGCCGGGAGCGGGGGCTCCCGCGGCCTTGGCCTCGTAGTCGTCGTCCAGGCTCACGGATCGCTTGCGGAACTGGGAGCGCTTGTCCTGGAGGTCCTGCAGATCCTGGATCTCCTCCAGATCCGGCTGCGGATCCACGCGACAGCCGCAGGGGGTGATGTTCTCGTAGAGCGGCTCCTCGTCCTCCTGGTGGTCCGTCTCCAGCTTGTGATCTTCCTCGTCCGCCTCCTCCTCGTCGCCCTCCTCCTCCTCCTCCGGCTCGGAGGCCTCGTCCTCGTCCTCCTCCTCGTCGCTGGGCTCAAGCTCAACTTTTCTGGCCTCAACCTCGACTGGCTGCGGATGTGGATGTGGCTTCAGCTTGGGAAGAGTCAGAGCTGCCGCCTGCGCCATCCGCTGCTGCTGCATCTTCCGCATGGCGATCTCCGCCTTGTGCTGCTTCCGGTGCTTCAGCTGCAGCTTGGGACTCGGCTTGGGTGAGATGTGCGGCTTGAAGTCGATGAATATCTCCTGCTCATCCCGCTCCCGATCTCGTTCCCGATCCCGGGGAGGTTCGTCCGGGAAGCAGCTGACCTTGTCCCGCCGGCGGAAGGAGCTCCTCGGACCGAAGCCGTCGATGAGCTTCTCGGTCTGGCCGTAGACCGGCATGGACTGCCGCCGGAGGTCGTCGCGCCGGAAGGGGGAGTCCATCATCTGGGGCAGCATGGACATGCGCCTGCTCTGGCCGGCCTGCTCCACGCAGACCTCCGAGCTGTAGCTCTCCGTCTCGTGGGGCGGGTCCTCCTCCTCGTCGTAGAACTCCTCCGGCTCCTCGTCGTCGTTCTTGCAGTATTCGCTCGGCGGCGGCAGCAGGTGCGCCTGGCTGAAGTCCAGCAGCTCCGGGTCCTCCGCGGAGTGCCGGCACGAGTCCTGCCGCCTGGGCAGGCTGTTCGAGTAGAAGTCCGAGTGCGAGGGACAGGTGCGCCGGGGCAGGCTGTTGCTCTCGTAGTCGAAGCTCTCGTTTAGAGCCACCGCGGCGGCGTTCACGTTCACGTACTCCACGCCCTGCTCCGCGGGCGAGGGCCGCGTCCTGCCCAGGTGCTCCATGCCCAGTCCGTAGCTGTGCGCGTCCAGCAGCGGCGGAGGCGGCTTGTAGTACATGATGTTGTTCTGCGCGTCCGAGAGCGTCTGCAGAGGAGTCACGTCCTGCGACTGCGTGCGGTAGATCATCTCGTGGGGGTAAATGGAGCTGGCAAAGGGGATATAACTTTATTATTAATTTCAGAAACATAAGCTTTAAAAAGGAAAATATTGAATTAAGAAGTAATGAGGGTTAGTAGCTATATAGTATATTAAAATAATTTTCTTAGAAAGCGGAGTCGAAATTGATTAGAAGAGATTTCAATACTTCTTATGAAAATAATAATTAAATAATATTAATAATTATTATTAATTATATAAATAAATAATATCAAAGTTACCCCTGTTGATAGTGATGTGGTGGCACCTCCTTGCCATTGGGAATCTCGGAGAGGCTCTTCGTGAGCTTCTTGCCGTTCTGCAGGCCATTCGTTTGGGCCCCCTGGGAAACCACCTTAATGCGATGTGGTGGCCGAGGACTCAAAGCCAAGACCTGGGTGTTGTAGCCAATCTGACCCTGACGCCGAGCAGCTGCATCCGTCTGGGTGGCCTGCGTCTTCATCGCGTTCCGGAACTTCTTCTCCACGATCAGGACCTCGGGACTGGGCAGTGGGAGGGCCAACGGCAGTGGTTGGGGAATAATCAAGCCAACCATGTTGTCTGGAAAAGGGAGTGGCAACAAAATAATTACTACTATTAAAATATATTCCTGGGAAAATGATAAACTAAGTATAAACTAATAGACAGTAAAGTTCCTGAAGCTCATGGAGTAAAAGTATGGCACAGAAATATTAACCTATTTTAAACCACTTAAAGAGGGACTTAAAAGAAAGGTTTATCTGAAAGAAGATCTTGTTGGCTCTTAACTAGTTTAATCCGACTTAGAACCCCCAAACTGGCAAATGCTCCCCTCGTCGTACCTTTGCCTCCTGGCAACCGGGTGGCTGGATGCTCACCTGGAATCGGCTGGTGCAGGTGGATCGGGGCGTGGTGGTGCTGGCAGGGCTGCAGCTGCACCGGCCAGCTCTTCGGCAGCGTGGAGCTCTGCTGCGGCTGCATCGACTGCAGCTGCTGCTGATGTTGCTGCTGCTGCTGCTGCGCCTGCAGCGTGGTTGGTGGCTGCAGCGTCTCGTAGAGGGAGCCGGTGGCGATGATGGGCTTCTTGCCCCCAATTAGCCGCTCCTGGCTGCGGGCGGTCTTCAGTCGCCCCGAGGAGCGGAACCCAGCGTTCACATTGTCGAAGCTGGTGAGAGTGTGCGACCGGGCGAAGCTCACGTGCTTGGTTCTGCGGGGGAAAGTGATGATAGGTGACTGCTGGAGGGGATTGTCCTCGGGCCTCGGACTCACCTCACGTTTCCGGCCTGCTGCTGGTGGTGCTGGTGGTGCGTGGTCGGCATCGTGGCGTAAGTGGGGCAGTGATACGAGCTGTGGAGTAAGCACATCGGCGATTGTTAAACGGATTCCCACAACAGCATTTCAGTGAACACACAGGCATTTATTTACGATTAGTTTAAATCTTTTAGTTTAACTTGCTTCGATTTTGACTTGGTCACGTGCAGACACATAACAATTAATAAACATTTTGATTAGCGCACTGTTTTTAATATACGAGTAGAGTTCTGCTCTTCAGCTTCGAGCATAGATATCTTATTTAAGTAGTTTGTTATATTTTAGATCACTTTACATACCAAACATTTAGATTAGCGATTTGATTGGTGTGTGATGTTGGTGGTGTAGGATTTGGTGGAGCGCGAAGCTCGACATAATAATTCCGTAGCAAAACATCCTGGTAAAAGGATTCAAGTGGTGCTGTACAACAAGTTGCCCTTTACACATTTTGATCATTTCATTTCGTTTAGTATTTGGTTTTTGGTGGGGTTTGATTTGGCATATCAATTTAGTTTAATTTGGTTTGGTTTGGTTGATTTTTACATTCGTTTTGGTTTTATTTTTGGTTTTGGTTTTGAGGAGAGAAGGGCAGGTGGATGAATAACGAAAGAGGACACGAAAAAGTATTTTTATACAGAGCTTCTAGAAGGGGTGTTTGTCAGTCAGTGGTTTCGAGTGGTTGAGAAGAGCTTGGAGGCAAAGCGGCATTATGCAATGGATCGGATGATTCGGAAAGTAACGCAAGCACTGGCAGGCGATGCACGTATATATACAAGGCAATATATATACATATATCGGGGGAGTCGGGGGATAGCGAGCGACAGTTACAGCGAGAGTGACAGAGAGTTAGTGACTACGGAAAGTGCGACAGTAAAGCATAATCTAAGCGACAGTTGGCATAGCATTTACGGTTTTTAATTTGGATTCTTGGTTATCTGTTTCTGTATTGGTTTTCGATCGATCGACGCCTGAGGCGATTCATACCTGTGGTCCGACTGGTAGTCGCAGTTGTTGTTCGTCGTCACCGGCTGCTGGCCAATCCAGGTGTAGCGGCCACCCAGATCCGACTCACTCGACTTCCCGGTGCTCAGAATCGAAGCCGGCTGGCGGCGAAAATAGGAACTTTCCAACTCGTGAGTGTCTGTGTAGTTGTTCTGGTAGCTAAACGATATTAGAACCATTATTTGTGAGCCAAAGAGAATAGTAGGGGTTTCCACCCACCGTGGATACTTCTCGAATGGAGCGTAGGCAGCCAGGTTCTCGTCGGAGGGCACTCGGCGACCCACACAGCCGCCCAGAAAGCTGCCCGACTGCGTTTGTCCCCTTCGCGAGAGGCAGCCAAAGAAGCGTTCCCGCCTAGGACGCTGCTCTATGCTGTGCAGCTGGCGATCTGTGAGGCAGTACTTTTGGCAGATACTCGTTAATTTCAGGTTTGAATTTAATGGCTTTACTTGTTTCACCTGTTCCCTGATGTCTCCGCGCGAGTAGACAGAAGTTCGGGGGTGCAGCTCGGTGGAGAGCGTGTGGCGAAGTCTTCGGCGACCAGTGTGTTCGTCCTCGGAGTCGTAGCTGCGGTCCATGTGACTGGAGTAAGTTGCCTGAGAATTGTACATTATGAGATAAATCAATCCACTTCCTCCTCTTCATTCAGATAATTAGATATTTTCTTAAAAATTAATCATACGCCCCGTGGTCAAAATTTTGCTTTTAGCTAGATTAATGATTTAACAACATTGGTTGTTGGGTGTTTTTTGTGTATAATTTGATAGCTTAGCAAGCGTATGCATCAACAGGGCGTATGCGTAACCATGTGACTGGAGTAAGTTGCCTGAGGGAACATTATTAAGAAAATCAATCCACTTTCTCCACCTTATTCAGGTAATTAGATATTAAAAAAAAAAAAATATTCATGCGCCCCGTGCTCAACCGTCTTAAAAAATTAATCATACGCCCCGTGGTTAACTCCTTACTTTTATCTAGATTATTGCTATGCTGTTGGATGTTCTCAAAATTTTAAAAGGGTTTTTAAGGAAATTTGTTTGTATAATTTTAAAGCTTAGCAAGCGTATGCATCAACAGGGCGTATGCGTAACGAGATCACGCATACGCCCTGTTGTATTTAAACTGTCTTACATTAGTAATATAGGTATTAAAGTTATATTAAAATTACAAGATTTTTTTCTCTAAGTTCCCATTAAAGTTTGTATTATTGTTTGATAATTTAGTACCCCCTTCTGTGTTGTTCTAGTCCCTTAATTACTTCCCAGTTCCAGCTGTCCCATCTCAAGCTGCCTAGTTTCCCCTGCTGTAGGCCTGCTGAGTTGTCCTTTGTGGCCCCCCCAATTGTACTTGAATAAAGGTGACAATCATTCGCCGTGACATCTCCCCGCCCCAGAAGTTGTCGGCCTGACAGAAATTAATTTCACTCGCCGCACACTTGCGGTGTTTTATGCTTTGCATTTTGACGAGCTGGCGAGCTCCTCGCTCCTTGAGTACGAACCTTGGTGGAGACCTCGATGTTGCCCAGTGACACAGCATGGTGTAGACCTGCGAACGAAATGGTCGCTGCTTCACTTGCCAGTCAAATAATACATGGGGCACATAAAAGATGCGATTATGCGCCTTTGAGCCGGGGACTCCAAGGACTCACCAGTTCCAGTCGCTGATGTTGATGGTGCTGTGTTTGTGCCACGCAAGGCAATATCCATTTTCAAACGGCAACAATAGAAATAAAATGGAAAAGAAAAGAAAAGCGAAACAGGGGCAAGCACACACACACACACACAGACGCACACACACACACTGTACTGTATGGTATATATGTGCTGGGAAGTCGTGATGCTCTTCGTGTGTCTTTTTCCGTGTCAATTGTCTGGGACAGGCTTTGAAATGCTCAGCTTCAGCTTCAGCTGCTCCATGGCCGCAGCTCCGATGCAGATGATTAAAAAACTTAATTACTACGAGTGCGGCCCGCTTTTCGTTGTCATTTGAGTCGCTTTTCCCGACGCCTCCGACTGCGTTTGTATACTAATCTGCCTGGACTTATGCAAGGCAGCCAGCAATCGATATTCGCGCTGGCCAAAAAACGGTGGAAAAGGCCGTAGGAAAACGCAGAGTCAACGCTTCTGTCCGAATTTCCCCGCTGGCCGCTTCCTCCGCCCTTAGCTTGTGTCTTTTTCCGCGGAGTTTCGCTGAAATCCTGTTAATTATCGCCAAATTCCGCTTAGTTGGCTGTTTTTCGCAGGGTTTTCCTTCTTTTTTCGGCTGGGGTGTGTGTGTGGCCCGAGCAGCCTGACGGTTTTCACGGGCTTTCCGGTCTCCAAAACAGGCTCCTCACTCGACGGCGCTGATGCTGGAACTGAAGCTCAGCCAGCGCTCGCATTTTCCGACGCACCGAGAGAGCGCCGCTTTTCATGCTTTTCACGTGTGTCTAAGAGAGTTTCGCTGGAAGCGAGGCAAACATAAAACAGATGTTCGGCATCTGGTGCGTTGTGGGCCGGGAGGGGGTGGTTTTCGAGTCGCTTTTCCGGGAGACTGGGATTCTGCGACTGCAAAAGCGCAACAATGAAGCGCCTGGAAGCAGGCAGCGCGGCAGAGCGTGCGTTTGCGCACAACAGCTCATCTCAAAGGCAGCAGGCAGCAGGCAGCAGTTAGCAGGCAGAAGGCAGCTGGCTGAAAGGCAGCAGGACGTGTGTCAACAAGGCAGACAGTCGGCCAGGACATGCCGCTGTGCCTCATGCCGCATACAGGAGACAGGAGAGCTGCAGAGGGGCCGAAAAAAGCTGAAGGAGCAGGAACAGCAGCAACAGCAGCATCGTCACGTAGCCAACGGCTAAATTTCACTTACAACGCGTTCGAGGCGTCCACAGAAGTTGACTTCACACGGCTTCCATGTCTGGCTTTAAGGCAAAAACATGTCTAACAAAATGTACACAGCAACAAATAGGGAGCAACTGAAGAAGGTCTGAAACACAAGTAGTATTTTCTCACTTGGAATTACCATTTTTTGAATTCCCATTTTAGGTTCTTATCTTTAGGGACAAAACTTTGCGAAATATGTAGGTTTCCTTGTAGATTTTGGCTACTCAAGCGAAAAGTGAAGCATATTATTCCCTTTTTCGGTGCTTCCCCATCTTATCACCCTCCGGAAAGCTTTAATCGAAGCAACGAAGCTTTTATGCCCTTGCGGAAGAATTTAATTGGTTTTTGTGTGTGGGAGGGAAGCGCAGTACGCAGTGCGCCGGCATTAAGAGTAGTTAGGTTAATTTGCTTGAGATATCTGCCACAAAATGAAAGAACAAAGCCAAACAAAGCTGCCACTGCAGCATTTCGACTAAATTACTCAGAAATTTCCTATGGCATACTCACGGGGTGGGAACCAGTGGGGTGGGCAGAGGTCATAACAAAATTACAACAGCCATGGCAAACCACGAAGTTTGGGCTGCTTTATGGCATTAGGACACATATAAAACGTTTGAAGATTCATTTTGCGGAAGAGGAAATGTCCAAGGTGAAACTTATTGTGGTTCTTAAGTGCGGCAATAATCCCTAATCTGATTTACCTTTCTGTGATACAATTTAAGCACTCTTTAAAACAAATCAGTTTATGGAAATGGAAGAAATGACAAATAAAGTTAAGCAACTGGAAATCAACAGTGTTCCCAACGTGAACTTTGCACGACTTCATGAATTTGTGAACATAAGTGACTCCTTATCAATATCAATAGGTTATTTCACGCTGATAGATGACAGCATCGAATCATTATTTAGCAGCCGAGACCTAAATAAAGTTTTTTGCCAGCCACACTGTATGAACAAGGGGCGTTGAATGGCAATTCCCCCTCATCAATGTTTTGCTCGTCTAAGAGCTGAGTAAATCATAACTCATGGGGGCTGACTTTGCTTAGTCAACAAGTTGACACGAGAGGTTAGCCCTGACCCAATCGCTCCTGCCGCATCTGCACGAGTACATCCACAGCCACATCCACCCATAAGCTAGGCCAATCTTTAATCAGTTATGTAACCCGAAGTGCTCAGACCGAACGGCCCAGCCATTTCCTCAATATAGGGACGATAGTTTCCGTTGCACGGTGTTTGCCCGGAGTCCACAATTTCGCAGGCATCGCAATCATCCCCGGGTTCAGCCCATATCCCTATATCCCCATATCCCCGAAATCAAGATGGGAGTGTGTGGGTGTCTATGAAGGCCCTACACTGCGAGAAACTTATGCGAACATAGTTTTAAATGTTTCATATTTAATACAAGCTTTTAAATATGATTATTAAGGGTTATCTTGGGTCAAAGTAATGATAGCTTTCTTTTGTGTTAGTTATCATCTCTAGCTAATGGCAAGAAAGGTCATACTTTTCCGGTATTGATAATCCTATAAGATGTATATAAACACAAAACGCTTCAGCAATATTTCAGTTGTCTCTTCAAATTCAAAATGTTGAAACTCGCGTCTTTTTTATTCTTCGTGGCAATCGTTGGTGGTTATCGTACAACTTCTTTCCCAAGCCTCATAACTCGGGTAAAAGACCTGATGAAATCTAACAAGACAGTCCATCTTGCTGCGGTTCAAGGCAGCGATACTAGACAGTTCTTGTTCGATTACCAGGAGAAGAAAAACTGGACCGAAGCCATCGCCTCTTGTCGAGCAAACCGTGCAGAATTGGCTGCCCTTTATACCCGGGAGGAGATGGACTCCGTCAGTAAGAGACTTCAAAATAACACGGATTATTGGCTGGGCATTAGCAAAACGGATTCTTCAGATGGTGACACTTCAGTTTTTTTTATGAGGTACAACGAATTTAATCCGGAGAAAGGAGACTGTCTTTCCTTGTACAACGGCTACGAGAGGTTTAACAATTGCGCCGATCGCTATAACTATTTCTGCCAGAAATAAGTAGAATAATGGTTCAAATTGTAATACTGGAGCTCCTCTCTGTGGAGCTCAAATTAAAATAAAAATTTATTTTACTCAATACCGATTATTTTCTCAGTGCGATTAAGCTAGCAGCAAATTGTCTTATGGCTTTTCGGCCAACGGCTTTGAGCCCTGTGAAGTTTCTCGCCCTCGCAGGGCGCTTACCACGCAAATATTCCGGACTCCCAGCTTCGGCGGCTTAAATTCGCCTTCGGTTTGGCATCGAGGCAAATATCAAGCATACGCACTGTGGCCCAGCGGCACGGCATAATGCATGAAAAATTGAGCATGTCATTGACGCCGCCTCGCATGCCATATTCCATATATACGTATATAGTATGCCGGATATGTGCTGGATAGGATATATGTGCCGAGTGTCTGCCGATTCCCCCGGACGACTGTTTACAGTCTAGGCACGTTTCTTAATGGGAGCCCCGGGTTATGAGCACACAATATATGCAACATTAAGGGCCGGTCTTGACTTTGGCTAGGGTAAACTTTTTAATCGCCCGGCTTTAGAGTGCTGGCTGGCTGCTTTATGGATCGTGTGTCTGTTGGCCCGCACAAATTGACGCTTTATGTTAATGCCATTAATTAATAAATGAAATACGACATTCACACTGTGCCGGCGAAACAGCCGAAGCTGTTTATTAAATTTTAGCACGTAATAAATGAAAAGTTCATTGTGGCCAACACGAATCCTTCCCAGTTGCGGGGTTAACTGCTCAACTTACCCAACATTTTGCGGTTTCTCAAAGTCAAAACACAAATTGAATCGAATTGAATGGCAGGGCTTTCGTTTACGGCTTCTTTATTAACATTTATCACACTAAACTACTAATGATAAAGAGTTACAAATCTGGGTTTCTGGGCTTCTGCGCTTGGGCTCTGCTCTGAAAAATTTCACGTATCTAAATTCCTTCAGATAAAAATTGTTTTAGCTACGAGTTGTACCTTAAGTTGGTTAGTTCTCTTTGTTATCTCGGCAAAATTGCAAATAGTATGTCGTCTTATTTATTGGCACATAGATATGCTTGGGGGTTTAATATTAGATTATTCTAAGTGTTTCGTTTTCGCTGAATACAATTGGCGAAAAGGAAGTTGGAGTCGAAAGTTATATCTAATTTAATTTAATGACCGTGAAGGAGCGAAGGAATTCTCTAAGAATTTTATAGATTCGTTTATATTGCGTTTTATGGCAGTTGGTTTGACTCAAGTCCATTTACTCGTGCATTATGGAGCTTTTCCATGAAAATGTATGTACAAAGAAGAGGAGAGGGAAAAGTGCGTATGATTTTAAATGGTCTTTAATATTTTTATTTCCATTTGATTCGTTCGTAATTGATTTTCTGTTTTGTTAGACTGCTGCTTTTTGCTTTCCTTTAACATATTGTTTAAGTTTGTTAATCGTTTGTTTATTTCCCGATATCCGTTTAAAAGTTTATTTTAATATTCACTTTATGAAAGTTTTCCCGTGCTGATGATTTTTCCTGAATTATTGTGTCGTCATTTCCTGTTTGTTTGCCGCTTTAAAGTTGTACAAATATTTTATTTATTCTGTTTATTTTACACCAGCCCCTTCTTCTTTTTTGGCGTATCATGTCTTTATTGTATTGCCTTTTTATTATACTCTTTTTTAATTGGTGGAATGAAACTTGTTTTTTAGATGATTATGCACCTGGCTCTTTTACAAATTCTGCTCGTTATTTGAATGAATTACTAATGTTTTACGAGTTGGCTTTGCGTGTTTTCGTTTTAGTTTTTTTATATTTAGATCATAGATTTTGCAATTTATTGGGGATTAGTTTCAGGCGGAGATTCGCCTTTCAAATAAATTGAAATGGGAGTAGGTGCTCCCGGTAGATTAAAGAGTGCTGAAAGCTTAGTTTCGTACCATTCAAAATACAAAATACACGGTGTAAAATTACTTTCAGCAGGAGCTTTTCAGTTCAGCACTTCAAAAACTACAGGCAGCCATTACTCCCCAACCAAAATGCTTTTATTCGGCTGAAATTGAGTCCTGTCCATGCCGGCTTCAATTAATTACGGCTCTCATAATGGCAATAATTATTGCTTCATATGCCTTATTTCGATTGGAAAGTAAGGCGAAAGTAATTTTCATTTGCACTGCCGTTTGTTTGGCTTCCTTCTGCTGTCCGCCGTTAAACGCCTCTCAATTATGCAATATATAGTTGTTATTGAAAAATAAAGTACTCGGCCGACACGGAAAACTCGGCACTCAGGACAGTCTTGTCCTCGGGGAAAAGTGTCATTTAATTGGATCGACTTCATCTGCATGTAGACATACTCGCTTGTATATATATTGGTAATCGGTAATCGGTTGTCGGTTTCGGTGGTTAAATTGTATGCACGTTTATAAAATGGACCATTTAAGAAGTTTACTTGTTTTTCATTTCCATTTCCATATCGTTTTCCTCTCGGCTTGTTCTCCGCTCGATTGAGTTACCTCGTTAATATTTATGCACTGGCCACAAGCTGAGCACTTTTTCTTGAGACATAGATAAAGCTTTTCCGTCTGTCCGTAATCTCTATAATATATTAATATGCTAATGAGTAAAATCTTCGTCCTAGCTTAGTGCATGCGTGTGTAAAAGTTAAATGTGGATCTGTGTGAAAAATTCATCGGGTTTCGCTTTTGTTTCGGCGTCGTGGGATTTCAGTTACACTTTCGACTTCATTCGGTTGGAGTTTTAAGTTTACGTTTCTAAGAGAGCTACTACAAAAGACTAGAAGAGATCTGGCAAATTGTGCATGCGGTTCACGTAGTCGTGTGTGTTAGTGTGCGTGAGTGAGTGTGAGTGTGTGTGGGTGGGACCGTAATACCAAAATATAGGTTTTATAGGACCCAATTGTTGCGGGGGCCTCTTGATTTTCATTGCTTTTTTTCTGTTGGTTGTACACTTGGAGAAAGTGGAAGGAAGAGTTGCATATAAAACCAGATAATGAATGTTTTCAATTCAAGAGACCCTTTAAGTCTGTATAATTCTATGTGGCTATGATGAAATTAAATGAGTTTTCTCTGCTCTGCCTTCCTCCCACTTTTCTCCGAGTGTACGTGCCATTTTCTTATACGGACGTGGTGATTTGCTCCACGAACTGCACGGCAGCGGGTCGACAAAGGGATTGGGAGCGCTTTAGGCGGCACTGCGGGTTGCCCCCCGCAGCGTTCCCCCCGGCTGGGAGCCACCCGGCTGGGCGCCCTGGCTGCGGCGGAGGGGAGTCCTCTGCAGGGAGGCGTAGGCGTGCGGCACGTAGATGAACTCCCGCGTGGGCGCCGGAAAAGCGCCGTGGCCCTGCCGGCAGTTGCACTGCTGCGACATCGTGGACAGGCCCTCCGGAACACTGCGACTGCGGGTGGAGCTGGGCGGCCCGGGCGGTCCGCAGGTGACCATGTTCCGACTCGGGCTGCTGCAGGTGCACATCAATGGCTGGCGGTCCGCCGGTCCCGGGTTCCTGCAAGAGGGGAAGTATATTTCGATGGTTTAGCCGGAGTGTCAACACGGTTGCGAAGCGTGCGGAGAATTGGTACGAGCTTCTCGGGCCGACATCGCAATTTCCAAAGTGGCAAATTGGCGATTTTGTGGCCAGCATGAACAACGAAGAAGCCAAAACTCCCTGCCAGCGAACCGATTGTCTTTCTAGGGCTTCTGGCCAGTGATTGCCATTGATTGTTTGGCTCTGCCGGAAATCTCCTAATTGGTTTTTGATTCAATTGGCATGTTGGCTTCCGGGCTGGCCACTCAATTTTAAAACCTATTAACCGACAGTGGTTTGTTTATTAGGGGAAGTTGTAAGCCACAGTTAAATTTCTTTAAATTGGATTACAACACGCTGAACTGTAAAGTCACATCAAAAAGTGCTATCGTATACATATAAATCCCTGATAGTTTCTGTAATTGCTCGCTGACTTGTGAACATCCAAACGGTCCGAATCAATTACTGTGGCAAAAGCGTTTGCCGCTTTAAAACTGCGTTTAATGCCGAAGCAATTTACCTCTGGAAAATGTGTTTGCTATCACTAGCTGCGTTTTAATATTTCCCTGCGCAATTGTAATCCCTTTGACATTTACCCATTCATTCTATGTAAGCTGTCGATAGCTACTTAACTTGTGAAAATGTCAGGCAATTTCCAGCTGAACTTTGATTTGCCATTCAGCTGCTGCAAAGGGGCACTGCGGGGCGATTGGGAGGCGCCTCCGCCGCGCCGGGATACTCACTTGTTGCCCTTGTGGCAGCCCAGCTCGTAGGTGCTGTGCCAACTGCAGTACATCTGGCCGTCGCAGCAGTTGCTGTGCTGCTGGATGAAGGACAGGCTGCGCTGCAGACGCTTCCCCATCCTGGCGCCGATGCTCCCCTGACCGAGTTGGTAGGCTCCACGCACCTGCACGTTAAAAAAGGCATTTGATTTTGTTATATGAGAAATAGTAAAATATATTTGTGTGATTTATGGAACTGTTAAGCTTGGGAAAATTAAAATAGTGCAGAGAACATGATTCATAAAATAAGGATAATGGCACCAGAAAGATTTAAATGTTTTACCATATAATTGAATGTTTCTTTTCTCGAAGTGTGACATTACCTGATGCTGCTGCAAATCGAGATTGTGGCAGGCCAGCTGCTGCAGGTGGGAGTGCTGTTGCTGCTGCTGCTGCTGCTGTTGTTGCTGCTGCTGCTGCAACATGTGCCTTTGGCAGAAGCTGGTCTGCAGATAGGGATCCATTTGATTGAGACTAATGCAGCTCCGACTGAGCAGGTCGGGGGCGGGGTACTCCCCGTAGCCGTAGTCCATCGGCAGGTGGGGACGGTGCTGGCGGGCGGAGGAGTGCCGCACCAGGATGGGGGTGGGCAGGTGGCCATTCCTCTGCTGGTAGTGGTGGTGCAACTGCTGCTGCTGCTGCTGCTGCTGATGATGCTGCTGCTGGGGCTCACTTATGAAGAATATTATAATTCCCGAGATGGCTGCCGCCGCGGAGCATATGTAATAGCCCGCCCGTCCGTATTTGAGCGAGTAATCGTTCAGAAACGAGGTGAGTGGCACGCTTATCAGCACAGGAACTGACTCCACCCCGCGAATGAATCCTGCAACGCCACACGCCACTCGAATCAATAATTTAAATGCTCATGAACCGATTACTCACCCCAAGCCTTCGAAAAGTGTTTCAGCTTGATGCGTTCGAGGGCCAGAATTTTCAGGGAGTACTGGAAGCCTCCCAGTCCGATTCCGTACAACCAGCTCAGGATGCAGAGGCCCGTGTAGCCCATGACGAAGGACAGGAACAGGATGGCCAGGGCCACAATCGATATGAACAGCTGGGGATTGCAGGAAAGTAATGAACAATTCTCTGGAATCCAAAGAGAATCCGACCCACCTGAGTTACAATCTTTGTGTTGATCACAAAGTGCCTAATCACAAAACACCTCCTCAGCAAAGCCCCAGCTATTACCACTCCCAAGGCCATCGAAATTCCCAGGAAGGTTTGCAGCAGCACCAACTCCTGCACATCGGAGCCCTGCTCGGCGGCATTGAGAGCCTATCAAGAAAATATGAGCAATAAAATATAGAAGGCATATAAACTGTGCACCAGGTAAGGTTCCTAATTATCGTATAAAATGTTAAAAATGCTTTCAAGTTAATAGAAAGCAACAAGATAATGCAGCCACATAAGTAAGATTAATGAGGAAAAGCACTTGCCATTAGGAACATGGGAGTGTAGATGCCGAAGGAGGCCACGCTGGACGTCATCAGCAGGATTTTCACAGTGACCGACTTCAGAGATGATATGTCCAGGAAGAAGTACCTCGGCGTGCTGTCCACCTCCTGGCTGAGGATGGGCTTCTTCTCCCGCATCTGAGAGCAGGTGGTCGCAAATTAAAACCCAAACTATGGCCAACCAAAATTTGAGAGCTCACCTTTTTGCGCTGATTTTTGAGGTGCTGGATGGCCCGGCGCTGGGGATGGTATAGCGAGGCGGGCCGGTACATTAGGCCCATGAAGAAGCTGAGTGCCGTCAGGGCGGCCACGATCTGGAGGCCCAGGCGCCAGCCGGCCTTGCCCACGCCCTCCTTCAGGATGACCGAGAACAAAGCGATGCCCACTCCCTCGCCGGACATGGCCACCATCTCGACGAATTGACGGCGCCGCTTAAAGTAATTGCCCAGCATCACGGTGGACGCCTCCCGCACCATGGCGACTCCGACCCCGAAGACGATGCCTGGGAATGGGGTTTGAAATTTGGTACACCGAGGGAAAATATTGGGGTATTATCAAATAGTAGAACAATATCATATTAAATGTTAGATGAGATATTATTGTAATTGTATAACATTTGTGTAGTATAAATGTATTAGAATGTTTTATTTAGAAATGATAACTTGATTTTTCTAATCAAAAATAGTAACATTTTTTGTGCAGTGCTCGGGTGCGAATGATAAGCAACTTCCGGTGCCGACTGACTGGCAGCTGGCAGGTTATTTATTTATATACGCACCATAACTGAAAACAACCTGGCCAAACTCCGTGGCAAATGAGGTGAACAGTATGCCCAGGGGCATCACCAGGCCGCCCACGATGGACAGGAGGCGGATGGAGCGCTTTCGGCAGAGGGACACCACAAACGAGGTGGCCACCATGGAAACTGACCAGCTCAGAGCGCCCAGCAGTTCTGTAAGGAGGAATTAAGCCTTGAGTGATGAGGTAGTGAGGTAGTGAGGCGTCAAAGTCAACTTGACGAAGGTCGTAATGGTGTTAGGATTTCAAATTATAGAGTTTGGGGTTCGTGTTTAAGCGGCACTTTAAAGGGCTTGCTCAAGCTTAAATTCGTATCATAAATCAATTAGACGCACTAACCTAATGGCATTCAATAGTTTACACGTGCTTGGATCCAAGTAAATCATAACTAAATTACTAATTTATTACGACTGAATAGCCAGTTCCTGTTTAAATTTACGGTCACAATTAAACACCTTTCGTAACAAAATGTTTAGTGTATCATTTATATACTAATTACTTTATCGAAGTGCTGCTATTAGAAATCACTTTAATCTATGTGAAGTAAAATTATTAACACCCAAATAACGCAATATTTTATTGTAATGTATCTTGCGGTATCGCAGCATCGATTTACAATAATCCAAAACAATATTTAACCTCGTCCACCATAAATAAAGCGTAGCCAATTAATTGGAAAGAAAATATTGTTTTAGGCACGAAATATGCCCACATGGCAATTTGGGCCAAATACTAACTCCCCGCTGGCAGAACATTAACACTTTATTTTTGCGATTTATGGCTGGCTCTAGCTGGTAAACACTTTTGACAATACACAATATTCACACTATTCTCAAATTATGTCCGCACTGTCGAGTGCAAATGAAATTTATGCAGGAGGCCACACCTACAAACATGCATTATTCACAAACATTTGTACAGAGTGACAAACATTTTGATTGCTCCACGACGGGGGGCAGAGCAGAAAACACCGCAAATGTGTAGGAAAACAGGAAGACCGGAAAATGGCAGAGGCAGAGAGATAACAACGGGCTGCGATGACTCTGATTACACATTCCTGCTAAGGAGCTGGCCAAAGGACCCCCTCAACTCCTCCTCTGTACTCACCTATGCCACTGGTATTATGCAAATACTGTACGGCGTAGAACCACAAAAGGCCGTAGCTGAGCTGCAGTCCGGTGGTCAGGATGTGGACCAGAAAGGACACGCCGCAGATGATCCAGCCCCAGCCGCCGTCGGGATAAAAGTACTGCAAGTGCAAAAAGAAAGTATCTTTTATGGAGGAATAATCTCATAAATTATTTTACGTTGCAGCTACAAATGGAATAAGCTACTAGAAAATGTTTTTTTTTTATCCAGCATCTACTAATTAATTAATTAACTACCGAATACGTGACTGCCAATGTTCTGTTTTTTCACTGTGTATGAAAAGTGCCATGACAAAGGTTCGGCAATTACAGTTTGACAGGCACTGTGTGAGCGGGGGGCGGTTGTACTTTTTGTGCATTTCTCACCTGTCTAATGCGTGTGGTGTCCACTCCGGTTCGTCGCAGAGCCGGAATGTTCCGGTGCAGGAGGTGGAACTCCCGATCGGCGAGTCCCGGAAAGGCGGAGTCCTCCTCGTCGGTGATGTGGCTGGGATGAGGGGGCGTGGCATGCAGAGTGGGATGGTGGTTCGCCTCGTAGCCTAAACATTGAAAGGCAATTGCGAGATGATTAAATGATGGCGCAAATTGCCTGGCTCGCCACAAAAACTCAAAGGGGATGTTTCCCCTCCAAAAAAAAAAACAGAGTGTGTAAATTACAAATCTTAGTATTTCTTCACCGCTTTTTAGGAGTTCTTTAAAATACTTCTTTGGCTGTCCACCAAATAAATTTCCACCGCAGTGGGTGGATTTCCCTCTCCTTCATTTAAAAGCTAATTTATGGCTCCCGCTCTCAGGTTCTCCACTGGAGGAGTACTTACCGAAATAGCAGCCCCCGTTGGCCACCAGGTTCTTGGCCCTCTGCTGGTGGTGCTGTTGCTGCGGCGGCGGTGGCTGGTGGTACCAATTATCGCACAGGCAGTACTGCGGCGCGAACTGGGCGGGGTGGTGCTGTGGGAGGTGCTGGGGCGGCAGCTGGTGGTGCTGCGGGTGGTGCTGGCCGTGCGGAAGGTGGCTCTGGTGGCTTTGGTGGGGTGGCACGGGGTTGTACATGTAGCAGCAGCCATTCAAATTGGGATTTGCGTAGCGGGGCGGCGGCGGGGCGGGCATTACGCCGCCCACTACGGCACCACCCACGTGACCGCCACCACCGCCGTGTCGACTGCAGTGGGGCATCATGGGCATTTGCTGCTCAATGGTGGGCAGTGTGGCGTAGCTGCCAAAATTGTCACAGTGCCGTTTGCTCGGGAATCTGGGCAGAGTGGGTGGCGTGCTGGTGGTTTGAGGGGCAGGGTTGGAAGCCACCCCTCCTCCCCCTCCGCCACCGTGACAGTGTCGGGTGGGCGTGGCCGCGGACTGCATCGTCGCCTGCTCAGTGGGCAAGTAGGAGAGCCGCGGACATGAGACCCACCAGGCGAGTGGCTGGTTGTTGAAGCGGCACTCGTGGCACAAGTACCGCTGGGTGGTGTGGGTGTGGGTCTCCTCGTCCTCGTTCTCGTTCTCGTCCGGCTTGCGTGGGTCAGCGGCGCTGCCGACCGGCTTCCCGCTGGCCGGGATCTGCTTGGGGTGTTCACAGCTCAGGTTGTATCTTCGTCACAGCGCGCATTTGTTGCACAGCACGGGACTGCGTTGCTTGGGCCGCACCAGACTCGAGTACTGTCGCGGGTTCTCGGGGGATTCCCGTGCGGATTCTCCTGCGGATTCTTGGGCACCCTCAGCCAGGAGTGGTGGGGCTGGCTAGCGGAGCCACTGGGCAACAACTGGGGACAGCTGCCGTAGAGCGCCGATGAGGTATTCGATAGCCGGCGGTAGTAGGGGGTCCTCTGCTCCATAATATCATCGCCGCCGAAGGAGGAGGAGCCCTGCTTGTGCGGCTGACTGCGACCCGGCAGCAGGCAGGATATGATGCTCCGGTTGTCTCTACTATCACTGCAGTTGCAATCACATGTGCACTGGATGACCATTGTTCTCCTCCGGATCCCCGAGAATTCCTTTAACCCTGTCCTCTCAACTTTGCGGCCGAAGTGTTGTCAACTTCAATGATGTCCGCTGCTGCAGCGCATTATTTTCGAGTCAGGGTTCTCGGTTTCGTATTCGTATTCGGTTTTGGTTTCAGTTTTGTTTTTCTTTTTGTTTTCGGATGCGGAGTGGGGCTTGAGGTTTCGGTTTTGGTCCCGGCTCCCAGCTCCCAGCTCTCCAGGATTCCTAGGCAGCTGCCGCCGCCGATGTCCGACTGAATCCATTTGGGGCCATCTCTAACGTTTGCCAGCCAAGCGAAAAACTTTGTGCCGCCACTGAAAGAAAATAAAATAACCAAATGTACTGTATGTGAATGTATTCAGCTTTGAAAAAAGAAAACACCAGCTGGGGAACTCAATTTTTGCAAATTAAATCTCATTCCTAAACTTTTTCCACATTCTAGGAGGAAAAAATGTTCCATATGCTTTCAAAACTTATTTTTCAGTGTTTCTAAAATTCAGACAACCGATAAAGAGATAAAAATTGAGTGTGGGGATGTGCAAAAAATAAGAGGGAACCGACGGGAGTCGATAAATAAATCAAATCAAAATCAATTTGTTTACTCTACACCAGCATACAAACAAGGAGCATATGCAATGCATAATTCAATTTGTTGTTCAATTGCGTGTATTTCAATTGCCTGCCAGCCATGCTCGCCAAGTGGGCGGGGGGTGCGTCGGGGGGCGTGGCACACAGAACTTGGGGGCGCAAACTTTGCGGTCACTGTGGCAGAAGAATTAGGGCAAATTGCGACTGGCACTTCGTATAACACATTTATGCGCCATAATATTTTATTTGCATTCTCTAAATTATTTAATATCCTCCATGGAAATGAACTGTAAATTGCTCAAGGAAGCCTCCCATTTTCAGGAATTCGCAGCTCTGCGGAGCAATGTTACACATTTTTATGTTTGTTTAGAGGCCAGGCGATGTGTACGCAATATAGGTTCGCCTGTAAAATATTTTAAAAACTCGTTAAAGCGCCATTACACAGCACATAGTTGGAGTGATGTGTGTTTATTGGAAGGGCATGGCAAACACATTAGTGTTTGGTCAGCTTTGTTCGTCGAGGACCCTTATCAATGTCAGCAAATGCGGAAAATGATGTCTAAATGTTCGAATTTGCTATAGAATATTTATTCGCCAATAACATTTGAAAACAAGCGTGAAACACCACCACTTAAGTAGCCCACTTGGGACTTAGTACTTCTATATTTGAATTGGACAATCATTTATAACACAGATATTATCACAGCATTTGTTGATTGGATTAAAATGCTCTTTTGTAGATAGTATATGTATTTGTTAAATAAACTTCAACATGGGTGCAAGTAATCGCACAAAAACAAAGTGAAGTGAGAAAATGACTGTTTCCGGAAGCTTGAACAGATATACAAGCTCCTGAACTCCACTTCCCCGAAGACTCCACGATCTCCACAAATCAAACTTTTTGCTCCCAGCCAAAATGACTCTGGAATCTTTGTTTCGCCTGGCAACTTCAAGAAGCCGAAGGAAAACACCAAGTGCTCACGTCTCTTGAATCTCCCGAAAACTTGATTGATTTATGTCTTTATCGTTTGACTATTTCTCCATTAAGGAGCGATGGTATCATTTAGATTAGTCCAATGTCCCATTCAGGGGCTATAAAAATGATAAATGATCTGGAGAGAAACAAGCGAGCGATGGGGGAGTTGGAAAACAAAAGCACCGAAAGGGAAACTTGCATCATTTTGCATCGGGAAAAGTTTGTGCAGCAGCATATGGCCCAGTTATCCAGTTTTATGGCTGCACACCCAGCGATTTGGCCAACGAGCACTCGCATTCCGCCTCACAATGCACAGAGGCGCATTTAAATTGATTGTAGGAAAAGCGGAAGCGTACCCGAGGAAAGGAAGCCGGGAAAAGGAGCAACATCAATCAAAACCCCGCTGCAATGGAGCTCAGCAGGTGGGCGGTGGGCTGTAAGTTTGGGTTGGGTTTCCTTGGAAAAGCGCATCGACTATTACCTGTGGAAACATAAAATTTAACAACATTGTAGCAAAGAGCAAACAGGCTATGCATCGCGATATCCTATGTTATCCGCCGGAACGTGTGGCTACACAAAAAACCTAGAGGGTCTATAAAGTTCAATACCAAAATCTTACGAACCAAGGATTCGTATTGAATTGAATTTATTTTACTTTAACATCCCCGAAAACTTATTATAACTGATATTATAAATTCAACATAATTCATTTTTTTTATTAAATAACAACCTTATTTTTCCCTGTGTACAAAGGCTCAAAAGAAAGAAATATTTTCACACTTTTCTTTATCTTTGCGGGTTGTCGGACTTTTCACAGCTTTTCGGGCTTTCCTTTGTTGCTTCAATGGTGCGTTGCAATAAAATCCTTAAATATCCTTGTGGCACATGGACACAAATATGACTCGGCTGCCAGCAGTTTTATGTTCTTTAAAATGCAATATTAAAATGCGAGAGTGCCGGCGATGATGGCCCGATTTCGATATAGACTTTTTGCCCCGGCAGGCGAAGTGTTGACTTAACTGGTCGTTGACTTTCCCAACATTATGCTGCAGTCAAAATTATGCAGTCCGTTTCAGCACAGTATGACGGCTGACAGACAGTGACACCACTGTTTTATGAATTAACATTTAATAAAGTCGCAGCGGTTTGATTAATTACTATTTCCTAACCGGATCAAATAAAATAAATAAATAGGGTGACCTCAAAGCAGTTGCTAAATGATGATGATCACTGCTGGCTTTAATAACCGATTCGATGTTTAAATAATGAGTATTGTTCAGCATCAAATTATTATGGAATAAATTAAATCAACTGAAACCGAACTCATCTAGCATTAATTAAAGAGTGAAACGATTTGATATATACGCACGGCCTTTGCGGATCTGCATTCAATTTAAATTGTAAATTTCATTTGCAATGATACGAATATGTTTCGGTATTTTGACCAACTCATTTGCATATTGAGCTACAGTTGTCTTGTTTTAGGCGAAAATAAAATGTTTTTCGTTCATTAGGAATTTGGTTTTTAACAAGATACAAAAATACAAAAATATTTGAAACGCTTTTACCCTATTTAAACGCACTGTAACCACCCGCTTGAGACCAAAAAATGCTGCTGTCTGTGCGGTTGTGTCAAAAAAAGGCCAACTTTTATTTGCAGGGGACGTGGCAGAGTGGGCGGCGAGAAGGTGAGATTTAACTGGATGCCGGGTCATTCTGGGGTCGGTTTACTTTGCTGATTAAACATATGCGCCAGCACCAGCGAGCCGCAACAAAAAGGCAAAAAAAAAAAAAAAAAAATGAAAAAAAGAAGAGGGAAAGGACGATGGCTTGGCCACATAAAATTTATATAAACTTTCCCGCTAACGTTTTTCAACGCGGTTCGAGTTTGTCGCCCCCAACTGGCGGATAATGGGTATCATATTGCCTCGGGGTTTCGCATTTAGTTTGCTTTTTTTCTGCACTTTGCATTGTAATAAACACACGACAATATGCGAACAGCAGCAGTAACATTCAGTGGCAACAACATAAACACCATCAGCACCCCTAAAAAAACCAAAAATAAATAAAACGCGCGCGGCGAGAAGCGAAGATAATAAAACGAAGCCAGCTTTGCGGCGGCCATGTTCCAATTACAGTTTCTTCTTCTGGCCAGAACAGCAGGAGTTCCGTCAAGAGCTTATGCGGTTGTTAAAGCTGGATGTTTAAAATTAAGTGCTATCCAACTGGGATTAGAAGTCACGTGCGCTTAATTCCTAGCTTTACAAGCGAGCAAGATCTGCTGAAATCTGGATACTTACAGTTCGCTCAGTTTATAAGTTTAGTAAGGCAGAATAGCGTGTCGTTCTAAACAATTTAAACTTTTCGGACAAGCGACAATACTGAGATGTTTACAAGTGTAGTGAAGGGAAGACGTCCTATTTTTCGACTCAAACAAGTTTCTTTTCGGCCAGAGAATTTTGTGAAATGTATCGAAACTGTTCGCCGGAACACACTGACCCGACTTCTTTCCATTTCCTTTGGCATATGCACTACAACTTTTATTTGGCCGCCTTGCCAGAAAAGGGTACGAATTTTGATGTCTTTTTTGCTCCTTCAGGGATACACAGAACGTGTGTGTGTGTGTATAGGTGCCGCCTCCTTTGTGTGGCTGTGTGTTTGCGAAGAAATTTCGGCATTCCCCAGGGCAAAATCATTTGCCATGCAGCCGGGGGCAAAGGGATATATTAATACTTTTTCATTTAGCTGCAGACCTCTTCAGCAATAAGGAGGAGGAAACTTTTCAGCTGACCATTTCTTGCTCTGTCTGGAACTTTGCGCATACTTTATGGCCAAGTGCTCTGCAGTGTCGGCTAATGGATTTATGTTTTCAGCCGAATTACGAATTGAACCGAACACGGCATTAGAATGTGTCCCCAATAAGCCAATTTTGAGCGGTGGCCCCAAGATAATCGGGTTAGGAGGGTTCATCCTTATCGGAGCAAGTGTCCAACGAGCTGTGAACCCAACTCAAAAATCCCATTACGGGCATAATTAGGTTGCCGTCAGCGTCAGCCAGACATTAAAATTAATATTATTCTCGATATACATTTTTAATGCGAACCTTGCGGAGAGCCCAAAAATTAACCACAGCAAAAATCGGGAGCCGTGCGGAAATTGCGGTGCGGCGCTTCTGATTGTGGCTGCCACAACGTGGCAGGCGTGAGCCGCATCCGCATGCCGCATGCCGCATCATAAGGGAGAAAGTTAAGCCCTTCTTAGCTGAAAAACGACACTTCCGTACATCTCGCGTGGAAAGGGGAAAGCGGAGAGTGGAGAGCGGAGAGGAGAAGGGATGAACTCGAGGCGGAAGTCAAGCGTCGTCTCATCTCGTTTCGGCCCGGCCTAAAAACAATGAAAATTACAAGCCTTTCCGGCTGCCGGAGAGAAGTTCGCAACAAATTTTCTGTGTCGAGCGGCTTGCTTTATCAGCATCAGTGCTTAAGTCGGGGCTCTACTGGGAAATATTTTTAATATCCCCTGCTAAATTAAAATGAAATTTTTCGAGTTACAAAAGAAAAGAAACCAATAATTTTAATAATGCTTCTGAACTCTAATTAAAACTTAAGCTAAGGCCACACATACTAGTTAATAATAAAACCTTTTCATATATTTTCCACTGTGTAGCACGGCAGTTCGTGGGCCAGAAACCCACATAAACATTTTTATTATTGGCTTCTGGGCATCCCGAAATAAAAAGGAAGCGAAAAC